TATTGAGCAAGCCTTCAAAGATTCTTTCAGTGATCTTTCTCTCTACCAGTTGATCACAGCACCCACCATAAAAGTGTTATTACATTAGAATTCTTCTCAGTACTTGATTCAACCACATCGATAACTTGAATGTCTGTGCATCCTCATTCCGTTGTGCAAATCTGATCTTTTCCTGTCACTTTTCAATTAAAAGTCCTTTTCCGACAAGGAATAACTCCTAACGTAAAAATCTATAATTATAAGAAAGAAGAAACTGGACATGATTAATCGTGAATATGCTCGATTAATTGGCAAGTCCTTAGGATGCCTAGATCCGGATTCGTATTGGAGTTAGATAAGCTGCATTATGAATTTAGTGTTATTACATATTCTAAAGTAAACTATTAAATCAGAGTTCAACCGTGGTTCGATAGTGTACTTTTTTCTTCATGCCGGTAAAAAAGGGATAGATCAGATCATAAATTTAAAATTTCTGGTTCTATTTCTGATGAGTTAAGTTGGTTACTTAGCCGTTAAGATTTTAAGTGGCTTTAATCAAGCCAAAATAAGAGAAAATCTTTCAATAGTTAGAAAATTAATGATGATCCAGGCTATTAACTAAGAAGTTTTGGTCACATGTTAAGTTAAAATCTTACCCTCCCTGCCGTAGTTCCTTAATATGTGTTAGGTTATTCTGGACAGCTTCGGTTCAAACCACAAGTCAAGCTGAACTTTTCAATTCTTTTTTTAAACCGTTTTCGGATCCTTCACTTTATGATCCTACTGATATCTCCTATGTCAATGATGTTGATTTTGTTATTTGACTTCGAAATCGGGATGTTAGTAAGCTTCTTCAAATATTAATTCAAATAAACAGCCTGGGACAGATGGATACACGGTAAAATTCTCAAAATTGTTCCGTAGGTTTGCTTACTCTTACATGCATTTTTCGTGGATCTTACAACTGCGGCTACATTCCCCGAGAATGGAAACTTGCAAATGTTAGTCCCATTTCTGGGGGTGCTAGGGAGTATGGGTTACGTGGCTAATGTTCAGAACTTCTGAACGTGCTAGGTTAATAGATGTCAAAATTAAGCCACTATCGTCAAAAACGCTATTATTTTTGTTTACCAATATCCTCAAACTCAAATGAACGTGTCCATAAAGTTTATGAACTTATTTGTGAATTTTCTTTGCCAATTCATGGCCTTGAATTGAGGTGTAATCCTGGAAACATTGTGAAGTAAAATGTACTTCGAAACAATAAAAAGTAAAACCAATGATCTTGGTTTCTCGGATTCTGTATCTGATTTTGCGCAATCTTTCGACTTCACAAGATTATGAAAACCATTTTCACCCTAAAAGTCGTGTAAACATGGAGTTCTGCTGATTCTCCGACGAATTCTCGTCCTGTTAGAATAACTTACAACTTTGAATGATTATTATTATTATGTCGTGTGCATTTGTCTTTTTGTTATGCTTTTCAACGGTCAACAGCGTTTTATAAAATTTATAATTTATAAATAATAATATTTTAGATTTTATAACTATTGAGACAGATCGCTGTAGTTTTTAGTTCAATCTTGAGTTTTTATCATAAATCTGAAAATTATAGAGGCTGTGCAAATATTAATAACTAAAGATACATTGCAGTTTCAACTATGGATCAAATCCATATTCTAACATAATGCATAAACCAAGGGGTACAATGTATAAAACATATTATGTAAGCCATTTTTTTGGTAACATTAGACACCCTCCCAATTCCCCACCGTAAGTCACTTTACAATTACACCTAACTATTGCGTAGAAATAGTACTGGCGTAAGCCTTAGTAATGTATACCTTATACTCTACTAGCCTTTCTAAATCCTTTTTGCTTAGCTGGCTTACGTAATACGTGTAATTGTATGTAGGACCCCTTATCATAGTTTGAAATAATCAATGAAATTGATTGATGAAATTTGTTACGTTTTATTTAATTTTTAAATTCAAGCTGTTTATATTCTTCAACACTGTCAAAACTGAAAACTGAAAACTGAAAACTGAAAACTGAAAACTGAAAACTGAAAACTGAAAACTGAAAACTGAAAACTAATTGTGACACATGCTCAAAGAATATTTGAAACAGACCTGAGCCTCCAAGGTCATCGTGCTCCAAGATTTCCCATATTTCTCAGTTTGGCAGCTCTAACAGTAACACAAAAGAGTTCTCCTAGAATAGCATCATGAGATGCGAATTGGTTGTGCTGAAACCGCTATATCTACGAGTCACGACTCACGAGTATCACCCTCACCCGTTCACTTTTGTATCATGTATTTTAATTTACCATTTTAATTTATACCAAATAAACTTTATATTCGAATTTCGAAAATTTTCTGAAAGGGCCCCGACACTGTACATGACTGACAATTTAGGGGTCGTTCACATATTACGTAATCAGCCGAGGGGGGAGGGGGGTTTCCAAATGCTTACGGTTGATTACAGGGGGGGGTGGGGTTTTGGTAGTTGATTACGTAATCAAAATTTTCTTTTTTACCCACTAGAATAATGACAATTTGACAATATGTTAATTCAAATTCCACTCAATTTCACTCTGATAGTGATAAAATTTAGAAATTGATCGAATATCCGGCTATAATAGTAAGTAGTTTAGAAGGTGCTTGGCCGGATATCATAACAATGATTTCGGCTCATCATGATAGCATGATCAGGGTATCATGAAACGTAGAGAAAAGTGTTTTCTAGGAAAAAAGTCAAGGGGGAGGGGGGGTCAGGCCATGATTACGTAATATTGCTGTCAGGAGGGGGGTTGGGTCTTGATTACGGTTGATTACGGAAGGGGGGAGGGGGGTAAAAATTGCTAAAATATTGATTACGTAATATGTGAACGACCCCTTATGAATATCAAATCTTTCTGAATCGATGTATTTTTGAAAGCTGATTCCGAATAATATTAATATAACCCCACGCGATATCAGATATACGGTAAAATACTCCCTTGGTGAGATCAGATATTACATATTGCCGAGCCCTAAGTAGGAACACAGTAAACCTACATGCCGCGAATTAATCTGTCTCGATCACGTTGCACGTGATATGAGTGAATGACAAAGGATTAAGATAGATACATGTTACGTATCCCAAATATCTTCGGCGGCGCGCGCTTCGCGCGCGAAAAGTGGCATGCAACGTATGTCAAGATTAAGACTATATAATATACGGAAGTTAGTTTAATTTCTCGTTAGAGTTATCAATAAAAGGGTTTTTATCATAGTGCATATGCTTTAGTTAGGAATTGAGTTAGGGTTATGGTTGGCGGAGACTATATCACTATAGTTGATATGACGATATGTGATAGTAAGGAGCCCAATCGCTCACGTATCTGGTATCGCGCGCATTTCTTCCGTTCAATTCAGGCGTGCTATCTAATTTAGCTATAGCATATAGATTCTAAAGACTAAACCATAAACACTAAATCACTTTACATGACAGTCGATCTTCAATATTTTTTCCAAAAGGTTTTCAGTGATCAGGCATTGGCGCCCTAGCCAACTTTGAACTTAAATTCATTTTAAACATTATTGTCGTTAACAAAATAGAAATGAAAATGAGTTTTTTTGTTTTTTAATTTGGTACAAAATACGGCTTTTACTTTTACAGTTTTATTAATTCGCTCGCCCAAAAATTATCACGTGATGTTGGTTTTTACGGTTTTGCAGACGAACAAAATAGTTTACATAAACTTTAAATTAAAGTTTCAGTAAAATTGTCCGATTAAACTACCTTGTACCTAGCAATCAAATTCAAAATTTTAACCGGCATTGCCATCTGCAAAATTAATAAACAGTGAAAGAATTTTATATTCTATACACTGCATTGGTGCATCAAACGATTCACGTACTGTAGTTAGACATGCACGACAAGTTAAGTTTAGGGTTTGTCGAACTACTGAGTACGTGTACCGTGTCTTAGTGTAACGGTGATATAACTGATAACGGTGAAAATGAATTTACTACTGCACAGCTGAACGACTTTTGTTAAAAAACACACTAAAAGCAGCAGTTTCAGTTCTCCCGGAGGAGTTTTTCCGGACCATTATCATAATTTATATTCATACTGAATCTGTTTATAAATATAATTACTGCCCTGTAATTATAAACGTTAATATTCATTATTAGGATCATTGGGCCAAAAACACAGAACAATTTCAGATTCAATATGAGCTCTAAGTAAATGAAAGCGAGCAGTTTGTAATAATATAAGTTTGTACAACCCGAAAAACAGTAAGTTGTTGTTGCTAAGGTTGATATGGTTCAATTTCATTAGGTATGAGGTATGCGCATTGTTATCAGCATAAAATAGAGAACTGGTCACAATAAAGCAATAACAATTTAATCATTTATCACGTTACGTAAAGGTTATTCTCAAAATCAGTATCTTTGGCGGTAAATTCAGACCAGTCAAGTAATTATTAGTTTCAATTCAAGTGATTTTAAAGTTGATAAAAATCAGTGGTACCCACTATCAAGTATCGTATACAGGTTCAGCTAGCAGATCGTCTTTTATTTATCATTCCAGAAAGTTCTGAGGTATTTTTGAGTCAAGCAACAAGCAAAGTATCATAAATGATATTATCAAATCTTTGTCGGGAAATTTATGGTGGCTCATTCCAATATTCAAATTGCGCTTCTTTGTTTTTAGCTGCATGTCAAAGAATAATGTGAATACTGTGATCTCCAAGTCACAAGTGCATACCCATTATCCGACCGAAGTTATGACTATGAATGACGTTATATCTATAATTTCCAATATTGCAATATGCAGTTATTATATGGTTGAGAGTTTGCTGGTGTCCCCTTAGTATTAATAAATATTGTCCGATTCCTAATCATTTCTTTTGGGTGATTCCATTTAATTATAATATAAAGTGGTGGGTTTATTGTAATGTCTTTATTTTCAGAATCGGGGTATTCAAATCTATATTCGATAGTCGTCGAATACAAAAGAAAATTGGAATGTAACTTTTGATAGAAAATTTAGTATTCTTTGACTATAACTTTTGACAATAACAATCTTAATAGATTAACGTATACAGATATACTGGCACTGCACAAATGAACATTTTAAATTGCACAAAAATCAGTTATATTATAACACACCGTTGCTATCCATAATTTATTTAATGTTTTCACTTCTAAAAGTTGAAAGTATGATTCAGCAATATTTAAAAACATAACAATTCTAATAACGTAGCTAAGGTCCTAAAATACTAATTATCTAAAGCTGTATAATCGTGCTCCACGTTTATTTTTTATGCTCTTTCAGAAGGCAGGATTTGACGAATTTATCATAATTCCAAATACTGACAATTCCTGAGTCCTACTGTTAGAATCACTTCATCGATGGTAGTAGTTAACTTTATGTTCGAGCAACGCTTGCCCCGGGAGTCACCTTTATTTGCTGCAATGATTAACATATGATTAGATGATATCTAAGAAGCTGGCAAGTGGCACTGGATTAATTTGCCTTACATTTCACACGTTTTTATTCTTAGTATTAACTGAGGCGAACTGACCTGAGCTAGTTGCACTATAGAACAAAAACCGCAGAAAAGTGTCATTAACACATCTTCAGTACACGATCCCTGTAAGTGTAATGAATGAGATTTAGCAAAATTGAAAATGTCTGGGACTTTAATTAGGCGTTTTAATTATATTTATAATGTTTGCAGCATCAGTGAAAATATCGCAAACAGATCATTGCATGTAGAGTCCTGAAATTTGTCATTGTAAATGATTAAAACTCTAAAACCGTAACAGTTTTGAAGTTGAACAGTTTTACCGGCGGACGGCGGTCATATGTATTTTCAAACTCTGCAACATTTATATTAGACTGATTTTGAGAGGAAACCAGACATCTTATTATTATATCAAGACAAGGCTAGTATAGTAATTACCATAATTCCATGCTGTTCTCTCATGGCCATTCTTGTATTTACAAAGCAGAATATGTTGACAAGAGGAACGAAGAAGAGGATAGTTCCGAGAGCACAGCTAGCAGTTCCGGCTGCCTCGGTGATTGTTCCGAACGTGTAGCAAGGAAGAAAATAGGACATCAAACCTGAGTGTTTCGAAAATTGGTTGACTCGAGTAAAGGTATATTTAACCAACTGCATATTCTGCAGTTGTGGTAAATTTTAGCTTATTCGAGTACAAAAAAATTGAAAATGGTTATAATAAGCTCAATTATATAAATATAATGAAAACTGGCCACGGGCCTAAATATTACATATCAATCAATTACAATTGATTAACATTACCAATATTAAAAACTGTCCAAAATATCTAAGAAAGTATTCTCTAGCCAAAAGGCTCAATATTTAAATCTTATTGAGCTTATTGCATGTGCAAACTGCAACAATTTTTGTAAATTTATAAATCAGTGCAACAACTTACATGTTCCACAGTCATCAAAACAGCCAAAAAGACCGTGTGCAAATTCACCCATTTTGTAGTTCCTTTCAAAAATAATATTGATATTTATATTTATTTATGAACGGACGTTTTATGGAAAACAATTAATATTTTATAGCGTGAAGCATACCATTGGCATTAAATTTATAAATATGAAAACTTGTTAACTGGAATTCTATTTTTAAAAGTACTATACCAAGCGCTGTCAAAACGTAAATCATTCATTACACGCGAACGAAAACACAAAACAATGTAGTGAAAGAAGCTCGCAGGTTTTAGCGGAGTTTTAGCGCGCAGGTTTAAGCGGAGTTTTAGCGCGTCTCTGTTTAACAGCATCTAGCACGTGTTTAACTTGCGCGTGGACTGCCATGCGTGGATGGAGAGTTGAGAGTGCGCACGATATACAATATATCTGATATCTCCGCCAAAAGTACAAAGTACATCCAATTTGAATTTTGATACGTATGAAAATTGAAATATGTCTATAACTTGCTTGATTGTGCACTAAGTTGGCGTTCCTAGACCAAAATTGAACGGGGAATCATTTAAGATCACTTTCGAGGCCCATCGACAAAATCTTTCTACGCTTTTGTGCTTTTTATGGAGAAATACGTCCGCTCCTACTAAATCGCTCGCCCAAATTTTAAGAAAATTCTTGTAAAAAGGCCCTTTGGGCATGAAAGTGATCAATATTGGTGTATTTTAGGACGCTGATTCCGAATCACCCCCCATGACGTAGGGTTAAAATGCTTCCCTGGAGAGCTGTGGGCAAAAAAACCCGTTTTGGTCACGTGATTTTACATACGTTGCATGCCACTTTTCGTGCGCCGCCGAAGGCTAGTAAAATACAAATTCGATTGTTTTGAGCCCGGGTTAGGGTTAGGGTTGTGGTAAGGGTTATGGTTAGCTTCGGGGTTATGGTTAGGGTTAGGGTTGGGATTAGGGTTTATGTAAAACCGTTTTTTTACGGCTGCAAAACCATAAAAACCAAAGTCACGTCGGGTGAAATTTTTGGGCGAGCGAATTATAAGTAAATACGTTTAATTGACGATGTCAATTCATGGCAGCTCGGCGCGGCACAGTAGCGCATCTCGCCGATCTAGCCAGAGAAGCCTTATTAAGTGCGCGGCGCGGCACAGTAACGCATCGCGCTACAATAAATACGTCAGTAGCGTTTTTGAGCTTGTTATTATTATTCTCTTTCAAAAGTATTCCAAGTGATTTGTATAAGAGCATATAATAACTTTGTTGTTTGTATACATTACCTGGATCATGGAGACCTCAGGCTATAATCATGTTCATAAACATGATATAGAGATTCGGCGGAATGACAGGCTGAGCGCGGCCCAGTAAATCAGTAATGTTTACATTGCAAAATAATTTATCTCGATTCATCATCATGAATTGATTCACGATGTCAATCCTTCGCATCTCGCCAAACTGCATACGTGGTTGCGAGAAGCATTATTTGATGCGCGCGCGACCCAGTAGTGCATCGCGCTACAATTTACATCATACATAAACTCTAATCTCAACTCTAACCCTAGCCATAAACCCGAACGAAGCTATCCTGTATCCCATATCCACAACCTTCTACTTTAACCATTAACCCTAATGCCTAATTGCTAATTAACCCGGCCCTAACACTAACAGTTAAGTTACTGGTAACCGGTGCTCGAGCCCTAAGTGCTCAGTAATCGAATTTGTGTTTTACAATTTACTAGCCTGTCACGTGACAAAAATATAAAATAGTTTTTTGTCCATATCTCTCTAGTGAATCATTTTTATTTTACGTCATGACATGGGATATTGATTCGAAATCAGCGTCCAAAAATTTACCAAACTACTATTAGATTACTTTTTCTTAATTGACGATGTCATTGTCAATCCTTCCACCTTCGCAGCTCGGCGCGGCCGGCCCAGTAGTCAGTAGTGCATTGCGCTACAAACTTTTTTGTTTCACTTACCTGCCACCTGTGGTCAGCCTGGCCTGGGACCCTAGGCTATAATTTTCATAAACATAAAATAGAGATTCCGGATTAATGATTAAGCGGGATGACAGGCTAAGCGCCGCTCAGTAAAATGTACCCGCTCGAACTTTAAGTTTAAGGTTTTATGTTTTAGATTATTGATTACGCACGGACGGTTATATTTTTATAAATGCCTTTTGATCATGCCCAAATCACCATTACAGTAAGTCCTTGACGGATGTTACTCGTCTAAATTTCTTCGAAGTAGCGCACGCTGCTTTCTTCTCGAAATGGCCCGATGGACGTGCTACGAAGTAGCGCGCGCCGGGCCAAACCATTAACAATGGTCAAATTTAAATAAGTCCCCAAACGGACCAATTTTGTCAACAATCAAACCTTCACAAAGTACATTCAATATTAAAGTTTAACATATGCAATATGAGAAATTTGTATATTGTATGATGATGATGAATGATTGTTTGTTTCTTTACTTGCTTACTTGGTATTTATTATGTCTTTTATTTTTATTTTAGTTTCAAACGCGATTCCAGACTCACGAGGAAAAATTTTCGCGGTCAAATCTTTGCACAGCTAAAATTACCCACATTTCGGTAGTTTTCAAATACATTATAAATATACAGTTGTCACTGTCAGTAACAAGTAATATCCTAATTTACTGCGGAGTACTTTGGGAGAAAGGAAAAAGCCGCGGTAAATCGGGGTTTACGAAAAATCAGGGTTTTGATTATTTACACTTTTACAATGTACAATTACATTATGTATGTTTTTGTTAAGCCTTATTTGGGGGAAGAAATGGCCGCGGTAAATCGGGGTTAGCGGGAAATCGGGGTTTTACTGTGTACTATATATATAGACTGTAGACGTAGTTGTGAAATGTGATAATAACATTACAATTAACTAAATAACAACAATTAACAACAACATACTAACGTATTACCCATTATAGTTATACTCAAAAAGGCGAGTCTTCATCTAAATTTAATGTAATCTAATAAGTAATTATACTCAATGACACAATAATTGATTGAATATAATGTTAGTTGGGCTGAATATGGCTGCAGTAACAGCTCGTAATTCTTTAGGTAAGGGTGCTTCATCACTACAACAAGTAGAATTGTTTCATCACTATAAGCAGAAGCTAGTAGTTATGCTCGAGAAACCCCTGCTCCGGGACCTGCTTTTACTTGCTGCAACGATAAATGAGCTGTTATTGGACTGTTATAGATACAAAATATTTTATACAAATTTACTCGTTATTTTAACTTTAATAAAAAATTAACATTAGTACTTAAATGTAAAAATTACTGCAACGCTAAATTTTAATTTTAACCTTTCAAGAGGTTATTGATTATATTTTAAACAATTCTACGTTCAGATAGGTAAATCAAGCAGTTCGATGAAAATCATATTTAGCATTGGCAATATGAAATATTATTATTATATATATATACTAGTACTATATATTGCAATATGAAATAAATTGCATGTTTTCCGTTTATGTGTCTTAAAATTGAACCACAATTAATAAACTTTAGACTTAATTGATTAGCATTCTATTCTTATCAAGTTATCTGACGACACGAAAGTACAAAACATCTAACCTGTGCTTCTTGCACTAGAGCACAAAGAGAACAGCAGCAAATAGCCAACAAATCGCTAACTAACGATCCCTGTAATGAGCGAGATTTAACAAAATTGAAAATTTAATTAGAATCTGAAACTTTAATTGCATATTAGGCGTTTTAATTATAATGTTGGCAGCTCATCAGTGAATATATAATTGAAGAGTGAGAAGGGAAAATGAAAAATTATGAATTATGCTGGCGGGTAATATTGGTATAACAAGATTTATAAATACTTCCATTAGCAAGGCTGGTTACCTCTATTCCATGTTGTTCCCTAATTGCCCCTCTTGTTTGAATCCAGCAGATAATATTCAGCAGAGGAATGAGGAAGAAGATACCTCCGATCAAACAAGAACTAGCGGTTCCAGCTGCCTCGGCGTTTTGTCCGAATGTTACACAGGGCACGAACCACGCGATAATACCTAAACTCAAGAAATTAATACTGGAAGATTATAATTTAAACCTCAATTTGAACAATGATCACATCCAGTAAAAAAAAATTAAACTACAAACAAACATATGGACATTCTTTAGATTGCAAGCTTATAAGATCATAAGAAAATGATAATGATTTTCCTGTGCTACAACTCACATGTTCCAAAGTCATCAAAGCAGCCCAATAGTCCGTGCGCCCAATCGCCCATTGTGTAATACTAATAGCTTTGGAAATATTATTGATTATTGACAATATATGCATGACCATGAGGATGCTTAATCAGGCCATCTTAAATTGTCAATTAATCGGTTATAAGTCTTAACTAATTATCAACAATCTAAAAAAGGTTCCCTAGCTATCCTAAGGGGTGGGACATGTTTGAACTTTGAGGTGAAATAAAACATGAGAAAAAAAACTGGACAGTAGCAAGGTAAAGAAGTTGGCGGCAACGGGCCGAAATAAAGCAGTAAACTATATTCAAAAGAGAAAGTTTCACTATGAATGGTATAAGGATCCTGTACTTAATGATAGGGATCATAAGGCTGCAGAGTGTGGATGCCTACAAGTACATATTACATATGGATATTGTATATGATATAGGGACATGGCTAGTGTAAAGTTTTACAGCGCTATATTTTGAATGCAGTAATACCGTGAAATTTTGATTTCAGTATGAAAAAGCAATTGTACTATCAGAAAGTATGGCTCGATCACCCAGTTACTTGTTCAAATTATAATTAAAATTTGCACGATCGCATTACTAATGTCTTATACTATTTACACGACCAAACGATCGTGCAAAAAATGTTCATCAAATACAAAAAATGTTCATTACAAATAACAAAGTGAATTGAGTTTAAGGATTGTTTCAAAACATATTTGATATCTTGCGTGGCATATGATACCACGAATATTTAAAATAATACTTTTTTTAAATTACAAACGACACATTACAGGAACACTACATTTACAACATACAAATTTTGCCGCACAAACGACACGGCCCTTCGATGCGGTTGCGATTCTGTTGGATTGCATTTTAATTTATAAATATAATATAAGAGCTGTAAATATTTTTCAAAATTTTGATTTTAGAAGTAAATCAACATTGCATTTACACTGAACTATACCAGCACTAACGTCTAACAATACTATCTATAATACTGGAGCTGGAAATAAAGACCACTTCACTGGAACCGACCCCTATTAACTTGAAGGTAGAATGATCCCACCTTAACACAAAGTAACGAGAAACAAAACCGTGAGTAGTTTTGAGTAACCTAACACCGGCCACCGCCTACTAATTCTAACGAAGGTTATGATCGCGTCACTGTTAGTGTTCATCACAGGTTGCTAGGGTTACCTTAACCTTAACAAATTGTGAAGGAGGGTAACACGTGTGATAAGAAGGGTTGCACGTGTCATAAAGTTCTAAAACCAGTCTTGGTTTCGAATTTCAAATATATCACCCGTTATCTGAAGAGTCTAGAAGAGAATATTGTTCCTTTACTTTTCTAGGTATAGAGGGAACTAAAAATAAGGTATTTTATAGTATGTATATTAAGGATGTTAAATAAGTCTTGCTTTTTGCCAATCTATAAGACTATAAACATACGCCGCATTAGTGCATCTATAACAATAACGCACCCTCAATATACAATTCGTCTGCAAACTTAACGGATGTAAAATACGGACGGCTGTAAAATTGCAACTGTGCACTATCAGTACATTTTCCCAAAACCCGGAGGTTGAGAGAGATAACTGGGCCGTATGAGGAGCACATCATGGTGGCGAGGGTTAAGCTTGGACCGGAACACGTTACCAAGATAAGAGTTGTAATATAAGATATCGAGATTTACCTGGGGACCTCAGGCTATCATGTTCATAAATAGAATAGAGATTCGGCGGAATGACAGGCTGAGCCGCGGCCCAGTAAATCGAGATATGATATGAATGATTTGATTAATACTGGTCCATTTTTATTTTGTGGTATTTGCTGGGAGTAGATGGAAGTGGCACAGACTGTGTTAGAGATTTTACCGGCGTATCCTCTAAAATCACCTAAATTGTTCAATTTTAGGGAGGGGCACCAAAAGGGGAGGGGGCGCCAACAGGGGGCGCTTTTTTCGGCGGGGGGGGGGGGGGGGGGGCCAACAGGCAACGTTACGCCTGTATTAACACAGTATTAAACTAAGTTATTAAAATATCTTGGAAACATATAACATGGTAACAGCAGTAGCTTTTCTTATCATGAAAATATCTGGACGTTTGTGAGATAATGAATCGTGTGATAAACACGTTGTCGTTACATTCCCATAGTGATAGATAATGCTGTTTTGAAACTATCGAAGTTTTATTTTTTCTTTATTTTTAGATAGGTAGTAGGTACCTACAGGACTTAGCTTAATTTTACTTCTTCTCTGGCGGAAAGTTTTCAATATTTCTTGAAAAGATCAGGAAAATAAAGAAGCCGAGGAAATACTTCCGGATCGTGTGCATTGAGTTTTATTTGTCTAAATCATACAAAGTAAAAGTAATATTCGCAAGTTTTGATTACTGTGATGTGCTAAATATCATATGTATATTATGTCAATAAAAAACTCAATTTGGGATTATATAAACTCCCGAAAAAAAACTCTGCCAATAACAGTTGAATTCAAGATAAGAAGATATTAGATAATTATGAATAATAATTATAAATATAATTAATAAATCTAAATAACAAAGAACTGGTTTGTAACAACTACAAGTACAGGGTGTTTCAAAAGTCTTGTTAGAATGTACTTTTTTAATAACTTTTTATCCATTTGTCTAAACTTCATTGTGTAAAACGTTACTTGTAGTTTTAAGGTTTAATGGTGACTTCTGAATGTTTTACGTTACCATGACCACCATATAAGCAGCCGGAATCGGTCCCCTAGCAACCGAGGTAAAATCAAAAATATAAATTAACAGCAATTCTGATGGACAAATAAATTGCAAAATGATTCAACAGTGAATTTGCCCAGCCACCATGAATGCAGTATCTGACTGAGAATTAATTGCTGAAGAAACACCACGGCATGGAATACAGTATTTTATTGTCCGGTGCACGATGAAGCATCTATGTGTATGGTATCGGAAGCGTCACTGTCTTGCTGTTGTGCACAGTACAAATACAGCTCTATATAAAGTAGATTGATATTATACTAACTTGGGGAGTTCTAAGAAGGAGATCAGTATCGAATATCAAGAAAATTAAGAGAAAGCTTAATAATTCTCCCAAGCGATCAGCAAGGAAACTGGAACACCCTTAACCACTGTTTGGACGTTAGACAAATGGATAACAAATTATTCAAAAAGTACATCCTAACAAGACATTTGAAACACCCTGAAATTTCATTTTATATAGTTTGGTTGAAAACATGCTTTATTAAAAGACTAAACTCTAGTAAAAAGGAAATTCGCCATTCAATATCTTCAATAAGTTCTAAACACAAACATTTAGTGAGAAAAGCTAAAAAAACGAATCTATATTACTATGTAATCACAATATTATGTATATTGTCTATCCAAACAAAATCTACACCAACTTCTAATGCCGAATGTAAAACAAATTAACCTTTAAGTTAAAACTGTCGAGCACCTTGACAAATCTCTGTAGATGATTAGAAATGGTGAATATTTGTAGTTTCCTCTATAACCTTCTCGAGTTCGGACACTTATAGGTAGCCCACGAGACTTAGGATCTGGCAACGCCTCCACCTGGACCGGACTTGACTTGCTGAAAATGTGGAGTATATTTTTTAGTTTGATAAAATATTGGGTACATATGGAATGTTGATATATCATCCTTGAATACCTACTCGATGGTTTTATCCTAAAAGTTATATATTCTAAATCAAGTAAGTTAAACTAACGTACCTGTGCTTCCTGTACCAAAGCGCACAGTGGACAGCAGAAGATAGCCAGAATATCAGACACTAACGAACCCTGAGGGTAGTTGAAATTAAAGCTTATTGCAATTCAATGAATTTGTGAACAAATTTTATTTCAATTTCGGTTGGTCGGCTAAGCGATCCCATAATATACGCTGTTTTAACGATTGTTGTGGGAATCTCCTTACCTCAATTCCATGTTGTTCCCTAATTGCCCCTCTTGTTTGAAACCAGCACACAAGATTCACCAGAGGAATGAGGAACAAGATACCTCCGATTAGACAAGAACTAGCGGTTCCAGCTGCCTCCGCGTTTTGTCCGAATGTTACACAGGGTACTATCCATGCTATCAAACCTGTGGGAAAACTGATCTGAGATTGTTGAGTTTTCATAACTGTTTTATTAATAAATTTTACAGTCCTTGGTCCTAAAAGTTCACGAGGACTTTCAGAACAAAATAAGTTTGAGCATTAAAGTGAAATAATACGAAGAAAGTACTTTTTAAAAATATATATTTATCTACTCACAGGTTCCAATGTCATCCATACATCCCATAAGTCCATGTGCCCATTCACCCATAATTATAGCTAGATCTGAGAGATAATGATTTAATGTGCATACTTAAATCATTATTACTACTGTAAAACTCCTGAGCTCTGATTGATAAAATAATTTTGGGGTTCATGGGACTGGGAGCAAAAAACGTCACACCCAGGAAATTGTCTTTTGAACTAAAAAGATAGGTTCCTTCAAAATTGATCAATACAAGAAAGTTTTAATCGAGAATATAATGAGATAGTAAAGTGACAATTATAGGCACCGAGTTAAAAATATGGCAATCTAATCATAGAATAAATCCGAAAGTAAGACCTGAGAATATTTTATTCTTTGATGGCAAAGGGACAAAAGGAAATCGCGGCATGTACAGAATCGCGTTTTTTCCCATTATTTGCGACAAATTTTATGTATAGTTTAATGTATAGTCTGTTAAAATTCGCGGTATCGCTATTTTTGGCCAAAATAATCGCGAAATCCTTTTGTCCCTGTTTGATGCGCATTGAATTTCTGGTTTCATTCCATGCTCAACTACAACTAAACACGGAAATCGTAAAAATCTCCGAAAATATAAATTAATACTGCAGTTCACACGAATTTAGATTTTCTTACTTTAGCTTTAGAACTTCAAATATGTGCTATGTACAATATTGAAGCGCTATAAATGATGCGATGAATAGTCATCACCTCTGAGGAACGTTTGCCATATATCTAGCAGGATTATTACACATACCATGTACGATGGGTTTATATTTCAATTTGGAACTACTATTTAAGAGGTGTCTCGTTAAGAGATACAGCAAAAAGGTATTTCAACAAAGTGACACCTGCAAAATATAAAAATAACTCAATAATAACGTAATCAGCTGAGGGGGGGGGGGGGGGGGGGGTTTCCGAATGATTACGGCTGGTGTAATTTTGACACAATAGCTATATGTGTAAAACTGATTACGGAGGGGGGGGGGGGGGGGGGGGGATAAAAATGTTCCAAAAAATGATTACGAAATATGTGAACGACCCCTATACATTGAATATACTAAACGAATAAAGATATAATTCCACCATGATTCCGACTTCAGCGGAGCTTTTTAAAGTTGACGTGGATCATCACTCAAAATAATAACAAAATAATAACAATTCCCTATTTTACGGCACATTTATATTATAATCAGACGCCAACTTCAACCAGACAACTAGGAAGAGATCAATAGCTCATATGAACTGGTTGTTAACACTACCACGATACCTTTCAACTCCTAACTGTGTTTGTCTGTCACTATCCAGCTATAAAGTGCCGACAGCTAGTAACTTTTACAGAAGTGCTGTATTAGCGTGTTTAAAATTGGTTTTAAAATGGAGAAAATGGAGAAACCAACATGTTTCCTGGCAGTAGAACACATTACACAAGGATTAAGGAACTGGCTCCGGTATTTCGTCTTAGTCGTAGTGAAGGAAAAATTATACAATAAACGGAATAAAATATTCCACAATCTCATCATTGTAGCTCGATAAACACCCAGCATAGTGCTAAGAGGGGGGCACAGGGGGGGGGGGGGGGCTACGAGGGGGGGGGGGTTACGAGGGCATTACTTTTCTATTCTAAGAATTGTACAGTCTGAAAGGGAAAATCATCACGATTATATGTGCACATATACTCTTATACTCTTATATCATTATCAATACTAGCAGGATCCCGTCTAACCCTAAAGCGGTGTCAAGACTCGAGACACTAAAATAATTATTACCTATTTAATTCGCGTTTTTGACACCACTTGGGAGTCCAAATTTTGGGCACTAAAATTCTTATTCCTTGGCCAATTTTTTATTTTTTCATGCTAATTTGAAGGCCAGTCAAAAAAATTTCAGTTGTAAATCTTTTACGGTTTTTGCGGAAAGTCGCGACAAAGTTGATGCCGTGGTGTCAGTAAAATGGCACGGATCCATATTGATATAGATATCGTCTCGCCTTATATATAGTAAGATGTGTACTACTACTAGTACTACAGTTCACACAATCCACGGTATACAGACGGACGGCGTGTTTACCTTCATGAATCAAGGTGTAAAGAAAAATGGTTTAGTTAATAAATGCATAAGTTAATAGCACCAAAAGAAAAGCTTATAAACCAGTAGCTAAGACGTTTAATAACACTAACTATTTACTTCGCACCTCGATTAGAACTATGAATAAAATATTATAAAAAATATCATTAAAAAATAAGAATAAAATATTATTTAAAAAAATATATTATTAAAAATATATAAAAACTTGCAGATGAATGGAGCTAAACTCAGGTGTAAGATGTAATAAAGTTACACGTAACTAAAGTTAGTCTGAGGAGGCCTAACTCAATACCTCGCGTCCTGTGATGGCGTTTTTCTTGTCTCATATATCTTTTTCGAATCACCGCACATGACAGGGTTAAAATGCCAACCTGGCCAGTTACCGGGGAAATACTGTTTCGATGGCCATATAAGGAATTTGGTCTTATTTATCGTTAGGATTTTAGCGTAGGCGCTTCAGTTAGGGATTGGGTAAGGGTTAAGGTTGGATCAGAGCCAGAGGGTTACGGTTTTCAATTGTCCCTCAGGGCCATGTAGAGAACGTGTTTAAGTAAGTCACGTGAGTGTATTGTGATTAATCATCATCCCAAAAGATATCAGAACTTCGAAAGTATCAAACAAATTAAGCACACAACCAACAACCGCATTAGAGTTACTCACACGAAGAAGGAAGTAAAAATAAAATTCTTATATGGCGAATGGCCACCACCTATTATAATGCTATTATTTATAGCTGCTTCACAGGCACAAGACACATCCCCCATATATTTTAGATCACTCCGCGTCAGTGGTAATTTAATAATTTTAGCTATTTAATCAAGGTTTTGGTTAACTCATGAATGAATTAGGATACCAAACAAAAGGAGATTACTCAAATTTAACACAAATGAAATTAAAGCCACTCGTTCAATTTTGTACGGCACGGCTTTCATGTACTGCACCCTTTCGTGCACTGCACCCTTTTATTTGAATTTCCTTGGGGCAGCACCTGACAAATTTAATTGATTTTTACTATCAAAATTGTTAACGTTTCCAAATTATTATATTTTGCAGAAATTTGTATTTACAAAAAAATAACACTATAAGTATAACAATAATTTGTTGCACAGCGTTATGGTATCATAATCGTGTTTATATGTTATATTTGTGGAACACAACAAGAAAATTGAAAATAATCTTGTGCGAGGGTAGGGACCCAAATGTCGTTTTCTAACCCAAATAAACTTTAAGGAGGCTTCTCATCAGTAGCCGCACCTCCTTACTTGGTTTCTGAACTGGAATTCTATGGGCTTCCAGACGGCCAGACCGAGTATTACCATCCCATCCTTCTAAAGTTCATCACAAGTAGCACCCACCTTGAAGATCTTTGACACCCAGACAAACCCCATTGGCGAACAAAATAATCAATGCATATTGCGTATGTTAACATTCGTACAATTACAAATGTACTTGTAGTTTTGCCCTCAACAAATTGAAATTGAGTCACTTTAGTATATTCATGATTAGATATATTATAAGATTAAAGTTATATTCATAATTATAATATGTAGTTAGATGATAATGATATTATAGTTTACAGGAATTTAAGCTTTTTTCTTTTCTTTTTTTTTTCTTTTTTTTAGAGAGGCTGGGCCTGGTTGGCCCACGAGAGGATAGCATATGGATGCTTTGCCTACCTCTGGGGTATGGCAGTCCTGTGGGAGGATGCCAGTGGAATCAAGATGTGTAATCAAGGATGATGGTAAGTGTTGTGAGGTGTGTCATAGATAAACGCTTAAGTGGTGGTTGAGTGTGGAAGAGAGGGGCGAAACAAGACGGCGTTAAAATAGTCGCTATGTTACACCTGTCTGGTCCAACTCCTCCGGCACCACTAAGCGTTTAGTGTGGTTTGTAAAGTTGACAATGGTGGAGATGTGTTGGTTGTCGAATATGTCATTGACAGAGAGGTAGTAGTCCCGGAAATATTGACCTCTTATTTGGGCAATAGCCGGGCACTGTCCGAGAAAGTGTGAGACAGTCTCCTCTCCGTCGCCGCATTTAGGACAAGCACTTGTGTCTGATTTGTGAATGATGTGTAGGTGTTTGTTGAGGCCACAATGTCCCGTGATGAGGTGCACTGCAGTTCTGTAATTTTGTCTGTTGTTACTGAGTGTAGTGTTGAGATTTTTGATGATGTTGATGTTTTTATGTCCAAGTGTCAGTTTAGTGTGTCTGGGACCATTAGTAATCCATGATTCTTGATTAAGTTTTGTGACTTTGTCGTTGATCAGGCGTTTGATGTAAGATTGTGGAATTGGGCAATTCAAAGTGGATTCACTGGTTGTGCCATTTTTGGCCAGCACGTCTGCTCAGTGGCGTAACTTTGCCTGTTGGCGCCCCCCCCCCCGCTCAGTGACGAAAAGCGCCCCCCCCTAAAAAATTTTGTGTCCCTTTAAAAAAAAAAAAAAAAAAAAAAAAAGGTCGGGTACTTTTTTCTCGTCCCCCCTACAGCTTTTTGCGCCCCCCCCCCCTTGAAGCAAAAAAGGGCCGGGTACCCCAAATATTTTTTTCGCGTCGACCGAACGCTAAATTCGACAGGGAAATACACAAACAAGGCGTTTTTTTTCAGTGAAAGGGCCTAAAATTTAGGAAAATTGCGCCCCCCTTATACGGCGCCCCCCCCCCCGCACAGCGGGGTCTGCGGGGCCCTAAGTTACGCCACTGCCGGTCTGCTTTTTCATTACCCCACAATCCGATGTGTGCTGCTATCCATCTGATCTCTAAGGTGATTTAAGCTTACACTTGACCCAAAAGTGAAAAGAAAACTCAAAAAGATTTGTTTACATAGTGTGATTGCAAATATAATAAACATATAAACTCATAAAAATTTACAAGCCGTGAATGAATGGGAAAAGCGAGCGACCGATTTCATTTTCGGTATCATTTTGCAATTTTGAGAACGGTAATTCATGATTCAAATTGATATCATTTCCTTTTATTTATTTTGTTTGGGAAAGGAAGACACTGTACCCAACTCTAGTTCTACCCAAATATCATTTATATGTGGTAGGGGCCATTTACTTAAGACGTCCGGCAAATACTAATAGGGATCGGAGGGGGTGGATTTGGAATTTCGGACACACCCGGACAGGGGCCGGACGGCGGGTGATCTTAAAATCTGCGATTTTGGCGGACGTCCTAAGTAGAACTAAATGGCCCCTTAATTTAATGTAAGGGTCCTTTACAAAAAATCGACTCGTATTAAATTAAAAATTCAAAAAGAGAATCAATGCTGATGAAAAAAAAGAAGTTAAAACAGAACAGTTTACAAATACAAACATTAAAACTACAACTGACCACTGACTGAGAATACTGACAACAAAACAACATTCCCTCTGATCTTGGACTTGAGGCGAGAGCTACATCTAGCAGGTGTTACGACTACGAGAACAAAAGTGCTATTATAATGTAGAACAGGAGGCCAGGGTCAGGTGGAAACGACTTGATAAACTTTATAACCGTTACCAGTGTCCAGTTACACTTAATGATATTTCAAGTTATGCGCAGCTGGCTGCAGCCAATCCACTATCTAGCTTTAGAGCTCGGAGTATTTTGTTCCCATGACACTGCCAGTCTTCTATCTAGAAATACAATTTGAGCTAATGTGTTTTGTTTCTGGTTTCTATGGTTCTGCTTCGCAACCGATTAATAATTCAACTCACGGTGCAATCTAATTTGGTGCGAATGTCAAATGAACACTATAATTAGTGTATTGAATCAAGTTTCAGGTACCAATCAAATTGTCTCGGAGCTAGGTCAGCAGGGTTACTGTTAACGCAGTGATTGAAAAATGAAATACGAACCTATCATTGTTCCCTGACTTCAAATTTTGCTAATCAGTGACAAATTGTTGTGTAACTGTAAGATTTGCGCTAAAACAAAATAAACCTAGCCACGGGCACGAATAATAATATAAAGCAATACTCTGTATTACTATTACAGATGAGCCCAGTGTCATTAAATGTGACACTGGTCATGGGATCGAAAAGAGTTACCTGGGGACCCCAGGCTATTATGTTCATAAACATTATAAATAAAGATTTGGCGGAATGACAGGCTGAGCGCGGCCCAGTAAGAAAAGAGTAAAAGTCTCGCCACCATAATATAAGTCTGGCAACTGAGTTTTAATACTTTCAACACGTGTTCCTGCCCGTAGACTTAGAGTGTGCTTGCGAGGAGAAGATAGTACCGTAGGCGTACGCCACTACGCCAATAAACGTTCTGGCAAATAAAGTGAAGATGGGAACATCCTCTCCAACACTACAGTAAGTGCAGGTTGTACTTGTAGGTTTATAAACTACCGTACCAAGACGCGCGCCGAGTTTGGACTCGTCGACGGTCATTCCGTGACGGTAAACCGGTGAACGGACATAATTTTGAATGGATATTAAAATGAACGCTCGAAGGCATTCATTTAGTGTATTTTAATTTAATTTAAGTTTAACTACTTCGTCGCACTTTAATTGAACGGACATTAAATTGAACGCTAGTATTTGTATAACTATAGGGCCTCCAGCGTCCAATTGACGTCCGTTCAAATAAATTCCGATAAGGTAAGTACTTTTTTTTACAAATCAGCATTTTATCTCATTTTAATTCTCCTAGTCCTTTATTCCCCGGACAACTGGTAAGAAGTGAAATAAGTCTCCCAAGATTTCACTTGTCATGAAGCTGGTTACCTGGGGACCTCAGGCTATTATGTTCATAAATAGAGATTCGGCGGAATTACAGTAGGTAGTGCGCCATCGACAGTGAGCCGCGCGTGCCGACTGTAGGATGGTTTTTTAGCGCTAATTTCGGCCAGCACAATTTTCTTCAATTTCAAACAAATAGATATTAAGTATCCTTCCCAACCTCCGATTGCAACAAAAATTTGTAAGCTTACTCATAGACTTACAAGGAAAGTGTCCGAAAAATTTAAAGCATATCCAACCGTCAGACATTATGTTACAGCTAAAAGCAGCGTTTTTTGCCCCATTTTGATCACTATATCAACTCCGATATCCACCAAATTTTTCGGACAGTTGTGAAAGCCTTATTGGCATTGGAAGGTCGTCGCCAATTTTCAGAATGATCTCATTCAAGGAACTGAAGATATATCCAAATAATACGACAAAAATCAACGAATTTGGTCAAATTTGGTCAAATTACGCGACTTTTACAGCTAATTTTGCTCCAAAAGCCGCGCACCATCAAATATGGCACCTAGGCGACACTCACTGATCTTTCCAAAAAGGTATGACAAATTTGGTATTGTGAAAATTCTCACAGTCTCTAGAAAACAATGGTACAAAAATTTTTAAAATCCGAGCAAGTTTATTTTTATGGTGCACCCCTAATTACACACTAGACCTATAATAGATGATCTCAGAGCTTATGCAGAAGCAAACCATGGGTGGTAAGCTGTTGACAGCTTCCAGCATGTGGAAGCTTCATCCAATTCTTCAGTGGTGGAATAGACTTTGTGAACATCGGTCCGGGATATGGGGTATTATCCCAACGCTAAAATAGACCATTCTAAATTGTCAGATTCTTAAAGACCAGGGTGTAGCAGGAGACACTATTGTGGCTCTTGGAGTTAGATCCACGACAATCTGGAGATCGTTCTCCTGGGTGCGTGGTTGGATCAAAGAAATACAGGGAGATTACATCAAAGAACAATGTTGAGGAAATGGATAAATGATATTTGAACAACTTGCTGATATACGCTATCTGAGAACCACAGGTGGCTTATTCAGCCTTCACCAAAGGAATTATGCCACCGATGAGGTTCTTCATGAGAACAATACTGACATTGCAGGAGTACTTTGCCCCACTGGAGAGCAAGATCATGCATGTGCTCATTCCAGCCCTCCTGGTCGTCCAAGTAACCAGCACGAGTTGAGATTATCCTCGAACTTCCTGTTCGTTGTGGCGGGCTAGGCATCATCAATCTGTCAGTATAACATCCCGTGAATATGCTTACTCAGTTAGCGGATAACTAAAGACCACGTGAGTGATTCAAACCAAAACAAGACCCGGATATCCACCAAGCTGGACATGGGCAAGATAATAAAAAAGAAAGAAGAAACTGAGGAAAACGAAAGAGGAGTTTCTACTCTCAAAGGTTCAAGGTGCTCACACAAAGAATCAGAATATCAACTAAAGAACAACTTTGACCATGCAAGAGAGAACATACCACTGAAAGACCTCAACTAGGTTCTGAACAGGCAGTGTTCATGACAGCATACGCTAAGGTATGGTTGGCAGATCCCAAGGAGTGCCCTCTAATGTGCTTGGGGAAATGTTACAGTATCTCCACGCCCTTGACTGTAAAACTAGGCGGTTACGTTAGCATGCGCCACAACGCTATTAGAGATACTGCTGCTTTCTTCCTCGAGAAGCAAATTGTAAATCATGTTGGTTAGAAACCAGCACACCGACAGTCCAACCAAAGCTCCTTCTCAAGAAAGACCAACACCCAGGATGATGCCCGTCTTGATGTTGGCAGCTGTCGGACTTGTAATGCACCCTTTGAAAGAACATTCTTTGACATTTAGGCGTCACACATCCTAAACTGTGGTCACAAACACATTTAAGGACGCTAGTAAGTATCTATAACGATCACGTGAAAGAAAAGAAAGATTCTGTATGAAGAGAAGGAGAGTACTTCGGTCAGAGAAAGGATCCTTTGTCCCTCTAGTCTTCACAACCTCTGGGAGGTATGGGACCGCTTATTGCACTGATAATTTGTAGATCGTTGTCTCTGAGATGATAGCCGACCATAAAAAAAAACGAAGCCAAGGAGCCAGTCAAAATTCAGATCAGAAACCACGATTCAGATTTGATCTGTTATGAAGTACACTCCAATTGAACTAGAGGTATCAGTGGAAGATCAACGGCTCTGCTCTTGAACTGCATGACATCTCTCCATCATCCTCATCCCCAGAAGACGTGCTTTGATGGTCTCCTAGATTTGTTTATGTAAATTTTGTTATTTTACTGTACTATTTTATGTTGTTATCATTTTTACGGACGAACTGCTACCAGGGGACTCCCAACCCACCGCTTCGGCGGGTAGATGACGCACCCTTCACAAATGAGCCACTTTGGTCTACTTGCTTGAGGTGGCTCAGCTACATGGGTTGGGGGTCCCCCTATTTTTTTTTTTTTTTTTTTTTTCTTTTTTTTTCTTAGCTATTGTATAAGTTGCTGGGGTGGGTTCCCTAAACATAAAGCTGAATAAAATCCTTTGCAATTCAAAAACGTTGTATAAGACTGCTATTTGGTAACTTTCCTAATTTTCGATCATATAAGATACTACTTACATGTGCACGTTCAAGAACTTATAACGACATATGGTAGCAAGACTACTGTCTTGAACACACTAAACCGCTATTCAACTGAGCAGAAAATTATGAACCTGGAAGAATCTGCACATGTACCATACATGTATGGTAACTATCAAAAATTCTTAAATTTGATGTCCCCCAGTCGATTAAAGATATTTTCAAGTTCTGTCCTAGAAATGAAAAAACTTCGTCTGATTGTCCATTATGAGGTTGAATCTCCCAACAGAACTTTTTGTACACTCTACGAAAATTGGAAATGCTCTCATCCACTATGTTCGTAATATGTGTTGCTAATAAAGAGGGGATAATAATCCCGGGTTCTTCCAAAAATTCAGGACTTATCAGCCCTCGTCAGGTATTATCAAATCTAACCTTAAAAAGCACTTGATTATCCCTCAAAATCGAGAGGTGACCTATTATATGGTAACTAATCTATTTTTTATCTCAAATTTACATCCGGTACGGCTCTGCACAACATGATATTCTCTCTCTGCCATGAATACTTGGCTAACCTTTCCAAAACTATGATTTAAAACTTAAACTAAACTAAACTCAACTGGGCTCTCCTATGTCACCAACTAGACCATTAAGCAATTTTAGCTTAGATATTATATTTTTCTTGATTTGTATAATAATTTTTTTGTCTAGGGGTTGGTTGAGGGGGTTTCAAGCTCAGGTCACGCGCAAATCCTAAAGATAAGCAGGTGGCCTTCGCACTTGAAACCTCTTCAAACCTCCGCTGATTTATTGTGTATTAATATTGTTTGATTGTGCCGTAAATAATAATTATTTGTTTATTAAATATTTGTTTTTTAAAACATTGTTGTTATAACAGTCTAGATCTTAACTTGGAGCCCGAGCGTGCTAAATCACTCTCCTGTCGAAATCTTCGTGATAGATTGTTCTAAAAGGGCCCCCGATGGTTGTAACCAATTTCAATCGGATTTGTATTTTCGGACGCTGTTTCGAATCACCCCCTGACCATGTTTGTCGGACCAAAATTTCGCAACAAAGCGATTTTAACGGGATATGGTCGGGACAGGTCCCAGAATCATTCCAGAAAAAAAAAGTCCCAAAATCTGGATTGAGCCAAAATCCACAATTACCACTTTTTTACCACCTTTTTACCACTTTGGTTTTCCGCAAATAAGTCACGTTTGAATATCCCAGAGTTTCTAGTTTAACAGCAGTGTGTTTAGGAAAACAAATAGGTAATCAAAGTTCCATACCCAAAGAAAGCTTTTGATAAACGGAAAATTTTGGAAGATTTTTGAAGAGGAGCTTTTCTGCAGCCCGTCTAACCTTGGTGTCAGGGCTCATGAGAGCAATATCCACTCCGTAAAAAGGTCTCATAGCGGCTCCAGGCTTCAAGTTAGTGAGGTTATTGGGGTCTAGGCCAGGTCTGGGAGCTATCATTATACCACCTGACAGTTAGTTCAAGTTAGTGAGGTTATTGGGGTCTAGGCCAGGTCTGGGAGCTATCATTATACCACCTGACAGTTAGTTCAAGTTAGTGAGGTTATTGGGGTCTAGGCCAGGTCTGGGAGCTATCATTATAACACCTGACAGTTAGTTCAAGTTAGTGAGGTTATTGGGGTCTAGGCCAGGTCTGGGAGCTATCATTATACCACCTGACAGTTAGTTCAAGTTAGTGAGGTTATTGGGGTCTAGGCCAGGTTTGGGAGCTATCATTATACCACCTGACAGTTACTTCAAGTTAGTGAGGTTATTGGGGTCTAGGCCAGGTTTGGGAGCTATCATTATACCACCTGACAGTTAGTTCAAGTTAGTGAGGTTATTGGGGTCTAGGCCAGGTCTGGGAGCTATCATTATACCACCTGACAGTTAGTTCAAGTTAGTGAGGTTATTGGGGTCTAGGCCAGGTCTGGGAGCTATCATTATACCACCTGACAGTTAGTTCAAGTTAGTGAGGTTATTGGGGTCTAGGCCAGGTCTGGGAGCTATCATTATAACACCTGACAGTTAGTTCAAGTTAGTGAGGTTATTGGGGTCTAGGCCAGGTCTGGGAGCTATCATTATACCACCTGACAGTTAGTTCAAGTTAGTGAGGTTATTGGGGTCTAGGCCAGGTCTGGGAGCTATCATTATACCACCTGACAGTTACTTCAAGTTAGTGAGGTTATTGGGGTCTAGGCCAGGTCTGGGAGCTATCATCATACCACCTGACAGTTAGTTCAAGTTAGTGAGGTTATTGGGGTCTAGGTCAGGTCTGGGAGCTATCATTATACCACCTGACAGTTAGTTCAAGTTAGTGAGGTTATTGGGGTCTAGGCCAGGTCTGGGAGCTATCTTTATACCACCTGACAGTTAGTCCAAGTTAGTGAGGTTATTGGGGTCTAGGCCAGGTTTGAAAGGATCAATCTGAAAAGATCAAGTATCTATTTAACCTAACAAATATTCGACCTGTTTCAGTTTGCCACCAAGTATCCACTACGGGACATCGCCCCTCTCCCACAATGTCAAAGTACCACTGCCAAGCTTTAGGATTTATAGGCTCACCAACTGTTCCTAGCGTTCTCAGCGATGACCTGATAATAAAATATATATAATTTATAAATAGATATTATATAACGTTGTGTAATGTAATAATGTATACAATGCTAAATTACACAACATTCCGATCTTAAGAGGGCCGGGGGGGGGGGCCTCTTAAGATGTTTCTGATAGATGGGAGTGATATCTATCAGCGCAGCGGCTTTTGGTCCCATGTGGAAAAATATTGTTCCTACCTTACGAGACATTATTAAATACTTTTCAAATTTTACAGAGTACAGCAATAGATGAATATAAAATAGAATCGTTCAAAATATCGCCCCCATCTGTAATCTGTGTGCGGGTGAGTGATATGATGTTGAAAGTATAGGAAGGTAGATAAAAAAATTAATAAAACAAAAATAATAATAATAGTACAGTCAAATCCGTCCTAATTTAAGCCTTTGTCGGACAAAATTCGCAACAAAGCGATTTTAACGGGATATGGTCGGGACAGGTCCCAGGAATCATTCCAGAGAATTCCCAAAATCCTCGACTTCAGGAAAATCCACAATTACCACTTTTTTACCACCTTTTTACCACTTTGGTTTTCTGTAAATAAGTCACGTTCTGAATATCCTTGAAGACTCTAGTTTAAAGCATTGTGTTTAGAAAACAAAGAAGAACAACTTTTTCTTTAACAACTTTTTCAAAAATAAATTATTTAATTAATTAATTAAATAATTAATAAATTTTCAAATATTTCAAAAATATATTTTCACCAAAAATGTTTACAATTACATTCCACGTATAATGAACTAATTTTTATAAAAATTTTCACTTTCAATATTTTGGACTTGTAAAATTTTCGAAATTTGTAAAGAAAAACCACTATTTACCACTTTTTACCACATCGAATCTCCGCTAATAAAACGACTTCTGAATTTCGTAGAAGGTTCTAGATTGAACCAATGTGTTCAAAATATAAAAGAGAACAACTTTTTATCTGACAACATTTGGATTAGATAATTAATTGATATTTTAAATAAATAATAATTAAATTTTTATAAATTTCAAAATATAATTTTTATCAAAAATATTTGCCGTGACGTAAAACGTAAAATGAATTTACTTGAATAACAGAACATACACCGTCACATAGATTAGATAACAGATTAAAAATCCAGATAAATGGAATAAACGGTAAAATATCCAAATTTGTACGATACCATTATAGCTTATAATACCTTCCGGGAATTATATCCACTAAAAGTCTCGGACACTGAGAGCTGATAATTTGCCGATATATCCCGCAAGGGAAGCCAAGATATTATCAGCATAGACCTCAGACTGGCTGGCGGCAAGTTGTAAAACAAATAACACTGGCGTTCTATATATTAGACACTATATTGTATCATGCGCACGTATCGGATTACACCCCTTCCAATTCGGAACCGGAAAATATTATAATACATAATACCTCCGGTTCTTCGGGCCGCAAATTCCCTCCAGCAAGCTGTCGGGAATTATCAAGCGGAGCCCGAAGAGCCGAAGGCATTATTATATTATAACTATTTACACATCATATCTCTCGACTTAGTGTTGTGCTTAACTAGATTGTTAAACTAGTTTGTTTGGAAGTGTAAGCTTCAGCTTTACTTTATGTTGACTTCTCTTCGTAAAAAAGTTGAATCTGCTAAAAATCGAGGACTAAAATCACACGAAATAGTTAATATTTTGACAAAAGAAGAACACATCGTGTGCCTGATACTGTACGCGTGCAGATTCTATGTAAGTAGCTGTCAACTAATATACAATAATAGTAATATGTTTTTACCGTTTTACTTTTAAGTTTGATGTCAGCGGAGAGCGCAACTAGAGGTATTCTTAACCAATACAATGTTTTAATTTACCAGGCAAATGAGGAGTTAGTTTCGGTGAATAGCTTTAAGAGGGCGAATGATCGACGATGTAAATTTGTATGGAATGAAATATGGAAAGGGTTGCTGTCCCCAGGTGCTATTTAAACTATTTATCTTTTAAGTAAGTACACTTTAACTTTTAAACTATGCCCAGCAAATTTGAAACGGATACGTACAGTCCTATTCTTTATCCTGACGCCTCTCATACCTTGTATAAATAAACAAATCAACGCACCACAGGTTGGATCAACAACCCCTGGTCACTGAACGAAATTAAACGGCAGTACAACGGCATGACTGATTCAGCTCAGAGTGACGTCTTGTGTGTATTATTGCAGACAGTGACCATAGACCAGTTCCAAAGATTCATGTCTAGCCTAGCGGTTAGAGCATCAGCGCAGAAGGTTCAGGGTTCAAATCCCAGTGTCACCTAGTCTAGGGAGTAGCTAAGGATCCATTGGATCTATGCGATCTCAACGGTCGACTCAACCGAATGATAGGAAACTTAATTGAGGGTTAAATGAGGAGGGGTACCTGTTAAAAGTTCAAGAAACTTCCTAGGATACCCCTTCAGTGCATACTGTAAACATAGTGCTATTAACTATTATATCGGCCAATGAAGAGGAGTCCGTTGTAACAGAGTCAGGACCATCTTTGCTTTAGTCCACGAACACAGTTTAAACAAATGTCCACTCTGTAACGTAGAGATCGCACCAAATGATAAATCCTCAAACTGGATTACAGACAGGGTAAGTTATTGTACGGGGGAGGGGGGAGGTGTTATAGTACACATACGTTAGGCTCTTATTAAGTTACTAATTCGCTCGCCCAAAAATTTCATATGACTTTCTCCGTAGCTTAGTGCACTGATTCCCACTATTGGAATCGTTCTGAATAGCCGATCCTTACCAACTCCGTGGATTCGACTGGTGGTGTCTGATCCAGTGAAAGCGTGGCACAGAAATCGTGCAGAAAGCCCGATTTCAGTATCCTAGCACCCTGTCACGTGATAAGCGATTAGGTAATCATTGATAACCCAATCAATTTCGCTAACGAGATAAACAAATTGCTTGATAACTTCGTAATTTTCAATCCGTTTCGCACATCGTTTTGATTTGCAGAGAGGCAGTTGAGTGGTCTAATCAAGTTGTTGTTTCTGTAATTGGTGATGATACTGATTTGCTTGTCATTTTACTGCACATGACAAAACACTTTGCATTTGACCAACAACTGTTTCTCACCACCAAAAGCTACATCTATGACATTGAGAACATTCGAAGTGCGACTGGTAGGAGGTACGTAAACACGATACTGCTGCATGCCACGCTTTCACTGGATTGGTAAGGATCGGCTCTTCAGAACGATCGCATCCATCGATGAAAGTGTAATAGATGCCTTTTATTCGGCAAATTCTACACCAGCTACCATAAAGTATGTCGAGAACTTTTGATGCTGCAGCTGATTTCATCAAAATCGAGATCACTAGATGAAGCTAGACTTTCAGTTCTTGAACAGAAGTCGCAATCTTTAACAGCAGACATCAAGTGCGAACAGCTCCCGCCAACATCTGGGGCAGCTGAACAACATTCTTATCGTGTTTACCATCAGCTGCAGGCGTGGGATGAGAATGACCTAGATCCGATAAGTTGGGGATGGAAGATGAACAATGGGACACATGTACCAGTGACCACTCTTATGAGTACAGCTCCGAAAAAGCTCATTTAAAAAATCATTTGCAACTGTTTAAAATCAGGTTGTGGCAATGCTTGTTCATGCAGAAAAGCAGGAATACATTGTGGATCAACCTCAAATGTCAGGACAATTGCACCAATGTGCTAGCTGAGGACTCATAAGTTAGACTCTTATCTAGTATATATGGTTATATAAAGTACTACTTCGGTTTCCCGATTAATTTAATGAAAATTTGTTAATTATTCGTGATATGTAATTTTAAAATATTTTGATCAAAAATAATTTTTATAATTTTTGAATATTTGTTTAATAATCGAATTAGCTAATTAATTAATTATCTAATCCAAAGGTTGTCAGATAAAAAGTTGTTCTCTTTTATACTTTGAACACATTGGTTCAATCTAGAACCTTCTACGAAATTCAGAAGTCGTTTTATTAGCGGAGATTCGATGTGGTAAAAAGTGGTAAATAGTGGTTTTTCTTTACAAATTTCGAAAATTTTACAAGTCCAAAATATTGAAAGTGAAAATTTTTATAAAAATTAGTTCATTATACGTGGAATGTAATTGTGAACATTTTTTATGAAAATATATTTTTGAAATATTTGAAAATTTATTAATTATTTAATTAATTAATTGAATAATTTATTTTTGAAAAAGTTGTTAAAGAAAAAGTTGTTCTTCTTTGTTTTCTAAACACAATGCTTTAAACTAGAGTCTTCAAGGATATTCAGAACGTGACTTATTTACAGAAAACCAAAGTGGTAAAAAGGTGGTAAAAAAGTGGTAATTGTGGATTTTCCTGAAGTCGAGGATTTTGGGAATTCTCTGGAATGATTCCTGGGACCTGTCCCGACCATATCCCGTTAAAATCGCTTTGTTGCGAATTTTGTCCGACAAAAAGACGGATTTGACTGTACTATAATATGGGGAGCAAAGAGACTAGGCTAGACTGTTGTTTCACTATCCAATAAACATTTCCATAGATGCTTAGTGACCTCAGCTTTGAAAAGACTAGTAGACACAATCTGTCTTACCTGTAAAGGGAGTCCATTCCAGGATCTAAAGTCTCGAGTTAAAAAGTCTGAGAAACAGTCTAAGAACACGCAATTATTCTTTAGGCATAAGTCTTTAAGTAGATTGTTAAAATCTAGAACATTCTTTGCTATGTAGGAATATAAACACTTAATAGGAAGACAACATTGGAAAATTATAATTGCAGCGGGAAATAACTGCTTAGTGGTGTCAATTAAGTCATTAAGATACTTCCTAAGGAACTGAACCCCATACTTAGAATGTTTTATGTCATTTGTACCAACACTCAATATAACTTTTTCAATATCGTCAGCTTCTGCAGCTGCATGAGTTTTATGAAAATGCTGAATGTTTTCAGTGATGTCTCTAATTTTTGCACCTCTTTGAGACACATTGATTACTTTCCTTCCCCGGAATCCCAACTTATATTTATGTTAGACATAGTTCCGGTGACCTAAATGATAAATTGGGAACGAAAATATGGGAATTTTTTTCGAAAACCGCCTCATTTCGTACCCCAAATTAAATCTTGATATTTGGGGATTTTATTCATCACCTTATTTTACAAAAATGAAACCCAATATTTGAGAAAATAAAATACAAAGATCTTCTCTGAGCGGCTATTTCATCTTGTAAACAATTTCTCCGGAGCCTTTGAAAATTAGCCTCAACTTAACTTATAATTTTTAAGGCAATTCATGATCGAATAATAGTGTTCATTAATTGTTTGATGAATCATATTTATTTATAGCCCGAAAATATGGTGTTTTTTTTTTCGAAAAACTACCGACTTTCGTACCATTTAAATATGTCTCGTAAGGTAGCCAATATTATTTTAATCGTATTTTAATCGTATGTTCTAGAGATCATTTAAAAGAGATGAGCCCGACAGAATTTTGGGAAAGGCTTTATTCGGTTTTGAAAATTTGGACTTCAAAAAATCATAAAAAAACGACCGGCGATAATTTCGGCTAGGAACAATATTTGTCCATGGGACCTAAGAGCAGCTGATAGATATCACTGCCCTCTATCAGGAACAACTATAAAATCAATTTCGATAGAATTTTGATGCAGACCCCCCACCCCGGCCCCCTTAATCACATTTTCTCACACAGCAGTCAGCATAACGGCTGGATAGTCAAAACTAAACACCGATACATTATATTTAACAACAATACTTCTTTTCAACTATTCCAAACTAAAGTATCAAAACACAATTAGAATTAATATAGTAATTATTCACATAATTATCTACATCATAACTAAGTGATTACCTGTCGTATTTGGTCACATAACTATCACTGCTCTTCATGAGTAGTCTCACAGCTGTGGGAGCTCCGTAAAACTGGTTTATTTTCAGCCTTTCAACCGTCTCCCAGTAACGACCTGAACCATTGTTACAAGATCAGTGCACCCCTACTTTTTCCATCGATCAATTCTAATCATTTTCGCCACCAAATCGCTCAACTTAAAAGCGAATTATGTTAGAAAAGAGAATACAAACCAGGGTCGGGGTAATTAGGCGTACTCTCGAACATAACAGTGGTAGCAGCGTTACTGAGAGGACCGTACACCACGTACGAGTGACCGGTAATCCACCCCACATCCGCTACACAGGCGTACACGTCATCTGGCTTGTAGTCAAATATTTGCTGGTGGGTGTAACCAGCGTACGTTAGATAGCCCGCCTGAGTGTGAACTAAACCTGACCAGTACCTTTTATCAGGATGTATTACTTACAAGTTGTTACCTACATTCTACACTTGGTAGATGGCGTTAGGCGGGGTATGGTAAAAAGACTCTCTAAAAAAAGAGGCACTATAATTAAGAGGTACTGTGATTAGAGGTGTCGCTGTATCATTGTATTGGACACTATCATCGCTATCAGATCTGTCTCCAAAGCAAAAGGAAAGCATAATCTTTAAGTCAGCACGCTCTCGTGTTCATTCTCATGCTCGGGGATACTGTGACAATGAGGTTGTTAGTAAATAATTTGAGTTAGTGATGAGTGTTGTACCTTTGGGAGCTCCAGTGCTTCCAGAGGTGTATAACATGAACAGAGGGTCTTCAGAGTCTAATACTACTGGAGCACACTCTGACGAGGCACCAGCCATTTCCTGGAATAAATATAATGAATTCCAGCTGCGAACAAAGTGATAATCATAGCTGATGATAAATAATTCATTATAAATTGTTGACTTTATTAGTTTAAAAAAAGTTTATCAGCATAAAGAAACTTTTCTCTGAGAATAAGTAAAAGTAATGAAAAGTAAATAAGTAAAACTAATTACACTCTCAAGAGACACATCCTTGCTTGAAGTGAGCTCTACAGCTCCAGTTCTGTCCATAACAAATACTTTCTGGACAGAGGGGGCCATCTTCGCTGCCTCGTCCATAATACTCTTCAGAGGAATCAGTTTACCACCTCGTATAGCCTGGGTAATGGTACATGAGTGACATCGTATCATGATGAATGGTGATACAATGTAATGCATTGACATTACCATGGAATACGTTAATGGTAAGTACAGTATAATATTATACATTTATCACATGCCTTCTCATGCGATATCAAAACTTTCGCCCACGAGGCTTGCCGAGTTAACGAAAGTTTCGATATTCCCCGAGGCTTGCCGAGGGTTATATCGACATTTTCAATCACGAGGCTTGCCGAGTTTTGAAAATGTTGATATCGCATGAGAAGGCATGTGATTAATGTTTTATCACACTTTCTTTGGAGCCAAATTTGGCAGGGAAAGCAGATTTTGATCAAACGTTAGTTATAAATCTCACCAAAGCAAAACTAGACATGTCGAACTTATTTATGTTTATAATGTCCAAGCTATATATAGCTCTCGATAAGTTAGTATTTCAGATATTAAAGTTACAATACGTGAAATTAGAATCTCGCGTTTCACATTTATGACACAGTGAATGCTGTGTGCCGCGCTGAATTTGCTTTGTACTGCTACCTAGTGCATGCAATATTAATGTGTTTTCCGCCTATGGGTCTTGTACTTATGAGTCTAGAATATTCCGCCGCGAGCGCGTTTGATACGTAATTACATCCTGCAAATCAATTGATATGAGGTGATTCTAATACTTTATTTCTATTAGATATTTTTAGAGTCATTAAAACTGTAGATGCAGTATAATGTATAGAACATCCGTTTAAGTGTTGATTATACATCACAGTCCTTATCGTATAATCTGTATCTGCGATAAGGTGAAAGAATTTCCTGGTTGTTAAATTTGGATAGAGCTGTGGCGCCATGATTGTCTATTTATCAGTCCACATTATACACTGCACACCCTAATTTACACCAACAATATTATCGTCCGTCTTGATTCTTGATTGTCTGTTATTTCAGAATGATTTAATCAATGCAACTTGTAATCGTTGACTTAGAATTTTATCAAGTATTCTGCTTAGTTCTTAGTCAGTATACATCTTTACTTGCCATTATTTGCCATTATTTGGAGCCAAATTTGGCCTGGAAAGCAGAATTTGATCAAACATTAGTTATAAATCTCACCAAAGCAAAACTAGACATGTCGAACTTATGTATGTTTATAATGTCCAAGCTATATATAGCTCTCGATAAGTTAGTATTTCAGATATTAAAGATACAATACGTGAAATTAGAATCTCGCATTTCACATTTATGACACAGTGAATGCTGTGTGCCGCGCTGAATTTGCTTTGTACTGATACCTAGTGCATGCAATATTAATGTGTTTTCCGCCTATGGGTCTTGTACTTATGAGTCTAGAATATTCCGCCGCGAGCGCGTTTGATACGTAATTACATCCTGCAAATCAATTGATGTGAGGTGATTCTAATACTTTATTTCTATTAGATATTTTTAGAGTCATTAAAACTGTAGATGCAGTATAATGTATAGAACATCCGTTTAAGTGTTGATTATACATCACAGTTCTTATCGTATAATCTGTATCTACGATGAGGTGAAAGAATTTCCTAGTTCTTGAATTTGAATAGAGCTGTGGGGTCATAATTACATAATTAGTGTCTATTTATCAGTCCACATTATACACTACACTCCCTAGTTTACATCAACAATATTATCGTCCGTCTTGATTCTTGATTGTCTGTTATTTCAGAATGATTTAATCAATGCAACTTGTAATCGTTGACTTAGAATTTTATCAAGTATTCTGCTTAGTTCTTAGTCAGTATTCATCTTTACTTGCCAATATTTGCCATTATCTGCTTCGAGCTAAAAATTATCTGAACTGGAAATTATCAGAACATTTGTAATATTCAAATGTATCTCTTCAACATTTTAGAACGCAGTACTCCACCAGCCTATAACCACCCTGGTCATGGCCAGGTAGTTCACCCGTACTGTTACCAATATTGAATTGGTCTAATGAATGGCAGCACATTAATCATCGGACCTGTTTGCCCCAGGCCCAGACTAATTTATAACCAGATTAGCTGATTAAGTTACGTCATTCGTCCCTTGATATATTTATATAAATAATATATTTTATAGGATGTTTTTATTGCACTTATTTGCACTAACTAAAATTCAGTTAAAACTAGTCCTGGGATAGAATTTCCGCTCTTTATTGTACAGAATCTACATACAGAATCTCTTTATCAGTCTGTTTATAGATCAGCCACGAATTTCGCAAGCTAATCTAGGCGAAACCGGTTTGGAAAAGCCAAGTATAATTTCTGCACAATTTCTATATGGAATATGGCTCACAGAAGGGATCAGATGGGGTTAAAAGTGAGGTCTGAGATGGCTGAAATGTGGCTAAATTAATATGCGAATGATCCCATATCGTAATGTATCACAATTTATTACGTTATGATTTGCTGACCAGCCCTTTATCAATTCTTGACAATAATTTTCTTTCAAATATAACTACTTGACACCAAGATTCTTGTTTTGTGTGTTTTCTTCGTTCGAATTAATCAAACATCGTTTAGTGTTTACTATTTTTTGTGAGGGCGACTGTAGTTTGTTCTGACATTTCCTTTTTAATTTCAAGTAAGTGATTAGGGAAATTAATTAGCCTGATTGATTGTATCGCTGACAAGTACCAAAACTTTGTGCAACTTTCAAGTCTGCTCGTAAACTTTGATCTCGTTTTCAGTAATCTTAAGTCACTTAAAGCTCGTACAAGCCAGGGAGTTTTTACTTTGTTTCATCATTCTAAGCTTAATTAGGCTTTGAAATATGAAGTGCAGTAAAAAAGCAACAGCTTGAAAAAGTTTTACAACAAAAATTTTTATTTTGCTTAACAGATCTCAAACGCAAGGAAATATTTTTAAAATTATCCATAAATATACATTTTTCCTAATTGTGAAATGTTCATCTGATCATTGCATTTACGGTCATAGACTACTTCAGGTTGTTGATTTAAATCTGTATCTAAATCAGTACCTCACAGTAGTAGAACAGTTGTTGATAGTGGGTTCCTTGTTCCTATAGGAATATCGGGCACTCTCTGAGCAACTGATTGATATTTCATGCCCCCGGGTGAGAGCCAGTGCTCCCCATCGGGGCATGCAATATCAATTCTGCTTTCCTGCCAAATTTAGCTCGAAAGTGTGATAATATATTATATTATAATATTATTACAAGAAAGAACGAACCCTGTCAGCAGTGAATGCTACTTTAGCTTCAGATTGTTCGAGACGTTTACCAAGAGCCTCTGCACTAAACCCAGCAAATACAACGTTATGTATAGCTCCTGGTATAGCTCCATTTTAAGAGCCATGTTTGTATCAATAGTATAATTAGCGACATTAAATATAAATCACTAGAAACTAAATCAAATCAAAGTTAGACTAATCTATTATTATTTTTGTTAATTATGTCGCTGCCCACAATAAGCTTGAAATGCAATTTTTAAGCGATTCCGAAAATTTCATGCAAAAATTTGAAAACTGATGGAGTTATTTCGATTTTAATGAAGTCATTTTGGCTAAGTATCCTGAACCGAGATATTATTATATGTGCAGTTTTGTTCATGGAGGTCTTTTTACTTAGTATCCATTATTCAACAGATATTGAGCTATATCTTTCACATAAAGTTAGTCTCATTCAAAAATATTGAAATTTGATCGAATTTTGGGCAAAAGCTTTCAAATTTGGTGCCTATGCCCAAATATGGGCATATGGTCAGCTCCCCTCCCCAGTCCCCCCCAAGATTTGAGAATGGTTCCTTAAATGAAATATTGTGCTCGTTTACCGCGCTCATATGGATAGCAACTGACACAAGTGCCAGGGACTAACCATGTCAGAGCGTTTCTTGTAACCAACGACTCAAAGTTATGGGGGAAGAAAAAATAACTGCAGTAAATCAAAGACGGTCATATTTTGAATAACTTTTAAGCTATTAAAAGTTTTAGTTAAATTTCAATAAAAAACATAAAGGAGCTGACTGTAATAGGACAGTAAGGACAGCTGCAGCAAAGCACTGTTCAAACATTGCTGAAAAGATGATAATTCAATGGATAGAATGAAAAGAAACTTTCAAAAAATACTTTGAATAACTCCTAACATCCTTTCAATATGTTTCAGTGTAACTAAACAAATCATCGTAACATTACCTATTCTAGCACAAGCTAACATGACAGCAGCAGCAGTAGGGCACATAGGGAGGTAAACACCCACTCTATCTCCTTTTGAAACCCCGTGAGATTTTAGCACATTTGCAATACGGCATGTCATCTCATGGAGTGCTCTGAGGAATTGCGTAGTTTCAAATTCCAATAATGTGGGTGGGATTAGATACTGGGATTGGTACGGTATCATGAGAACCGCTCTATACCTGGTTTTATCTGTTCTGTTCACCTTTCGTTTCCCACATGAAACATGGTAAAGAGAAGTTCTGTCTTTTATAACTCTGACTTACTTGTACGTTATCAATTGAAGTTATAACTTAATTGTACGTTACCAATTGAAGTTATAACTTACTTGTATGTGACTATCTCATGTTGCCCTGGCTCGTCGCGCTCCCATAGTATAGCTGCCTTGTCACTGTGTTCCACTAGATGTCTGTCCAACAGGTTTTCTGAATGTTTTTCATCATGAGTTTGAGTGGAGAATGGGGATGGTTGCTGATCCCCTAGTCATAAATATGAGCTTTTGTCATAATATAAACTATGGTTGTATTGCTTTAATATTTAAAAATATCTAAGTTGTTATACCATCTTTATATTACCTGACACATTGAGTTTACCGCCTGTAAACCAGTTCACTTTTCCTGCTTTGAAATTGCAGTCCGAGATTGTCTGGTACGGCTCTCTCCAGTATATCCTTTCTGTTGCTATTTGGTTCCAAAACTCATCACTGAAACATTTTGCATTTAAAGGAAACCAAAAAACAGTAAACATGTACCAAATTTATACTGCAGTCCGAGCACAAAAGAAACAAATCATAACTCCAATAAACTGAGTCACTATTAAAACTTTTAAAATGATGTTGAACAGATCTACAGATCATACACTTTAAAAACACTAGACTTAAATGACAGGTTGAAGACTGTTAGTAAAACAAAGTATTTAGTAAAACAAAGTATTTTATTTATTAGCAGTGCAATCAATTCATATGATATAATTATAAGAATATAATAGTATGTCACACCTATTTAACTGTTACGTTTGAGTAGTCGTGCCATGGCTAAATCTAACTAGGACCAGTGGTGTCGATTAACATTTAATAGGTGAGTCTAAGTGACACAAATGGAAAATTTTAAGAAAAGACGGATCAAAACACAGATCCAAGGACAAGGAGACCCCACTGCAGGACCATACATGCTATTGGCTTGTGCATGGCCCAAAAGGTTCCAGTTGTCCAGGAAACTGTACGTAGCTGGTCAACTAGTTTTGAGTTCAGACTAGACTTGATGAGTTCTGGGGTTTCTAGAGGTAAGATTTGATGGTGCCATGTTTGTTCAGGCGGACATGGAAATTATGCGATGAATATATATAGGTATATAAAAATCATATCAATATAAAAATAGAGATCCAAAAATAGATCCAAAGATTCACACGGCAACCAGGGAACTTCCAGACAGGATGCTTTTGAAACAGGTATAATTAGCGCTTTTGTAATTAATTGTATGCAAGGGATGGGATGCTGATCAACTAAGCTGGTTCAATGCCCCAGCTATTTAGGGGGAGCCACTCAATTTCACGCCCAGGTGTTGTCAATTGCTAGGTTTCAAGCAAAAGCTTTTTGATACGGCTCTTGATAATTGAAATGGGGGAGGAAAGGTCGGAAAATTTACTAGAGCCAGGCTGCCGTTTTCTCAGAAAAGGCAGTAAGTCCAAATTTTCGAAATATGACAATTGCAATATTGGTATCAAAATTTTCGAAATATGACAATATTGGTATCAAAATTTTCAGTAGAAAATTCTCTACAACATTAGCTACATATTAATGTATAGAAACATTGTTGCATGCAATTCCTAAGGAAGTAAGTCCCAGTTGAGAAACATTATGTTTGGTTTTGGCCAATTATTTTCTGAGAGAAGGACGTAAGTCCGGACTTACTGCCTTTTCTGAGAAAATCTTGAAAATTTTCTGAGATAAGGAAGTAATTCCGTGGACTTACTGCCTTTTCTGAGATAAATTATCTGTGATAGGAAGAAGTAGCTGGACTTACTTCCTATAAAAGCATGCTAAAAACGGAATTTTAGAAAGCGATTTCCCAAAAATAACATAACTTTACTGCCGATTGATATTTTCGCTTGAAATTTTCAGAATCGCTGTATAATTACATTTCAACCTTACGTAAGTGATCAAAATTTTCATTTAGGCCTCAAAAAAAATTGGTGGCCGATTTTCAAAAACGTTGGATGTATTTTAGTCGCAAAACATAAACATTGGAGCAGTTATTGAGCTGTTATAATCGCAGAGAATGTTTAGTTTAGGTATATCTTTTAGATCAAGTTCATTTTCATCAAAATATCGATAAGATATCATTTAATGCACTGAAATCGTTCAAAATTGGCGAGTTTGCCTAAATAAGGGCATACTATTATTCAAAAACATTTATTATATGATATGGAGCAATTTAGATTTACCTAATTGTTTATATTTTACAATATAATCCAAAATACATAGATCCCAACCTCAAAAATTTAGTAAAAAGCTTGGACTTACTTTCTTCTCAGAAAAATATTGAACAGAGATTTTTCTCAGAAAAGGAAGTAAGTCCAAGTTTTCTCAGAAAAGGCAGTAAGTCCATCCAGTATGAAAAATAAGTTCGATTATTTGGCATAAAAATGGTTATATCTAAGCTTATGGACGGCTCAAAGCTTTAATTTTTTTGACAAATTAAAATTTGACTAATTATTGATAACTCAACGTGTTTACTTTTGATCTTACGCAAAAAGTAAGCAGAGAAAAAACCATAAACGCAAAAGTCGCAATATCTCGAAATGGCAAATATGGACTTACTGCCTTTTCTGAGAGACCATGACATTGTTTTCATTAGGAGTGCATTTGTCGAATATTTTATCAACCAAACTGTTCCATTATATAGTCGTACCTTTGGCGACAAAATTGTGTTTAGAAATGTCAAGTTTGTGTCGGGGGACCCGCATAGTTTGGCTACATGTTCTGGAACTTGTTTGGAATAAACTTGTCAGAGAGATGGGTTGATGTTTCTGGCGAATATAATATATACAATACCTGGCCCTTTTTATTACTTATGTGCATTTTTCTACAGGCTTTTTAACAAGCAGGTTCATAAGAGGAGTTAAATCCATCACAACAAGATGATTCTTGACAGGTTTATATGACAATACAATTATAATACAGTTAATGAATTGGTGGACAAAATTACCTGGACTCGATGCTGTGTTGATGAAGAGTAGGGTAGTCTGTTGAGAGTGCAGCAGAGGCTACAGTTGACAGGAGGGAACGGGCAGTGTGGCCAGCCCGATGCAACATCAGTATCAAATAATCAACTAAAGACTAAATGCAACTCTTTTGAATGCAACTAAATTAAACTCAATATAACACAAGGATTCAATAAGAGGATTCAATGATAAAAAGCATTTTTAGAGCCATGTTTGTATCATGATCAGTAGTATAATTAGTGACTTAAAATATAAATCACTAGAAACTAAATCAAATCAAATCAAAGTTAGACTAGTCTATTATTATTTTTGTTAATAATGTCCTTTGTATCTAGACTGAGTGGAGACATTATAGACTTGAAAGTGATCGAAAAAAAACGTTCTTTGACATTTACTGGAACATAAGATATTAAACATACTTCCGACATTCACAATTGTTTAAAATAGGAGAAGGGGCAAAATTGGCAAACACTATGCTCATGATACGATGGGCTTCAAAAGAACAAATCTTCGCTTCTATCTACTTTGTACTTCGGAGTGTCTTCATATCTGTTCGAGGTGTCAGGGAAAGTCTGCTAAGAAAAGTCATCCCTTTGAACCTTATTTCATCATGTGAATCTCATAGCTGTTTACATTATTTTTCGTACTAAACCTTCATAGTAGACTGTACTGCTTCGGTATTCGGGACAGAAGTTAATATTTGGTTTTGTACATCAATGAAAATATAGAGATTTTAACAAATTTTGGTTGCAATGTATATAATTGTTGTACACAAATGACCACTAAAAAACGTTGTGTAACACTTTGCGGACAGTCCCAATAAAAATATGTCATTTCTGTTACCGTTAGTTGACGATGTCAACGATCGACGATGGGAAGCAAGAATGCTAGTTCGCGCGGCGCGTCGAAGCGGCGAAGTCCTCCAACTGTTACCGGTGTACTGTTTTCTGCCAGTTGCATCATATCATATCACACATAATATATCGAATTTTTCCACTTCTCGCTAAACAAGAAGCTCGAGAAGAACGCCGTGCATAGAAATATTTACTTTACCTGAGGACCCCAGGCTTTAATGTTGATAAACAAATAGAGATTAGGCGGAATGACAAGCTGAGCGCGGCCCAGTAATATTTACTGGGCGGCGCTCAGCCTGTCATTCCGCCGAATCTTTATTCGGGCTGAGTGAATTATGACCTCCATCGCCCTAAAAAAGTTGCTCTATCCAGAGCCCTTGCGCTTGCAGTAGCGGGGGGGGGGGGGCCGGGACCAGGATTGGTAAATTATGACCGGGACTTGACATACGTTGCATGCCACTTTTCGCGCGCGCCGCCGAAGGCGGAAAAATATAATAATAATAATAATAATAATAATATATAATAATAATTATATATATGATATATAAATATTGGTTGACGATGTCAACCCATCGAGATCGTTGCTCTGCGAAGCAGAGCAACGATCGACGATGCTTCGACGATGCTTCGACAATGCTTCGACGATGCTTCGACGATGCTTCGACGATGCTTCGATGCGAAGCAAGAATGCTAGTTCGCGCGGCGCGTCGAAGCGGCGAAGTCCTCCAAATATAAATATAATATAATAATAATATAATAAAAACATAGATACATGTTACGTATCACAAATATCAGAGATATTTTTTTCCGCCTTCGGCGGCGCGCGCTTCGCGCGCGAAAAGTGGCATGCAACGTATGTCAATAAAAACATTGCATAATATCTCTGATATTTGGATACGAAACATGTATCAAACCGGGACCAGGATCGGGATTTTTGATCCCAAATTAAAATTGGCCGGGATCAGTCAAATTTGGACACCAAATTTAGCGGAATCAACTATTAGTGCGGAAGTGATCCATGTTTGAAATGACAATTTGTTTAAGATCAAAAATTTGTTGAGTTTCATATTACAAATGATTACTTACTTTGGTTACTTTGTTGTAGGTTTACAACCTACCAGGACGGGCGTCGAGTTGGAACAAATATTTTACGAGTATCACCCGTTAATTACTTTGGTGTGCTTCATAGAATCCTCTATCGGGTCATCAGAGTTGCTGACCACCTGGACAGCGAGATCGCTGCCTTTATTCCACTCCAGTCCACTAACGAGTTCCCATTTCGACAGCTGTATCCTGCCACTAGAGGCTCATCCGGGAATGATTTCACAAACATTGTTAGCATTTTTTAAAGTGCTGGGGATCTTCGATAGTATGCATGTTTGGTGGAATTAAGTTCCACAATCGAGGTCCAATTACTACAAACGAATTGTTGTAGAGCGTTTGGTTGCCCTGACTGCTATATTTATTCAGAGTGAGAATAACTGCCTTTTGGCCATGTCGGAGTGTTGCGGAGAACTGGATGTTGACATCATTTGGGCACTTGCCGTGCAGCACTTTCCACATGTGGATGATGGTATATCGTTCTCTCCTCCGTTGCAACGACATCAAATTTAAGGCCTTGAGTCTCTGACAGTAGTTTAGATGCTGTATGCCATCTATTCTCGTTGTGAACGTGCGCTGAACCCCTTTCAGTTGTTGGACGTCTGCACTCTTGGAAATATTCCATAAGGGGCAACAGTACTCGAGATGGCTTCTGATGAGGGATTTGTAAAGGGTCAGCATGGTGACTTTGTTCCTCGTCCATTGTTCCTCGTTTTTTTGATATGATTTTTAGAAATTTTTCGCTTCACGCTGCAAATTTTTTCCAAAATCTTGATAAAAATTGTATCTTAAATCCCGGTCAAAATCACGGTATCTTGACCGGGACCGGGATTTGGTAAAAAGTCCAATCCGGCTACGGCTGGGCCCCAGTACCGGGATCAAGGCCGATCTCTGATAAGCACATGTACGATCTTACTCTCAAGAGGGCAAAATTATTAGCAATATATTGCATTCATGAAGAAGGCTCAAGAAGTGATTTTATATATTACTGACTGTCTTTTTGTTTGTTTTTTTTTGGTGCAACACTTACTGACTTGACCCATGAGAACGATGGGTCCTACTGAAGCCCAGCTGATTTGCATTGAGTCCACTATTCCAGGACGAATCTGCTGGTACCATTGCTGAGCAATGGCAGTTGGGTCGGGGGCGCCCCTCCTAAGAATGACTGCCGTAGATACCGGGGATTGCATACTTATGTTTGATATGCGTTTATACTCACTCCTTGCTAAGCCATTAATATTACACACAACCACAAGTCGATGCCAAGGAGTTAATGTTTTGGTGTATTTAGTCTAACTGGTATATATTTTTGACGTGCACAAGGATTGGTAAGGTATTTGCTCGTCTTATCGGATGTAACGGCAATGTGTACACGTTATTATATATATTGTGTGTATTGTGTGTTTGTTACAATTGGGGTACGTTAATTGGAAGCGTCGTCACGCTTTCTAGTCACATACACCTGCCTCCGAGAGAATAATTCTCAGAACTAAGTGTAGTTTTCGATTTGTTGTAATTGGTGTGGTTTACTCTGCTGTTTCCACACAGCAGGGGGGGGGGGGGGCTGGGATTAATGATGCAGTGCTGGGGCTCGAACCAGCGATCTAACGATTGCTGGCCGCGCTGCCCGACACTACCCGACCACCACCAAGCCCAAGGCTAGTGGCAGAGTCGGGAATCGAACCTGGCACCTCAAGCAATGCCAGGCGGATTTACCAACTGCGCCACCAGCTCCCCATATTACTGACTGTATTTACCAAAGTATTATATCTGTACCTTTGTTGTCGGCACTGGCATCTGCATCTGTCTTTGAGGATCTGAACAACATCCCTCTATTTTTAAAGCTACATCCAGTAGCGAAACGTACCTGTGTGCCGCCCCTGCTTGACTTTTTTGTTCCTCCTAAAATTTTTCTAATGTCCCTCAAAAAATAGTGGGGGCAGTTGTTTCACCACTGGTTACATCAGCACACACCGAAACAGGCTCTCAACATTGCGAAGAAAACTTGTTAGCTAATAAACATCAACTATCTAACTATGAATCTTTGCGTGCTTGTACTTGGAAGAACAACACAAACAGTTGTCTTGATTGGTTTCATCGGCTCAGACGACAACATAATGAACATCAACTGGCAAACCTGACAAATAAACTGGACAAAACCTCCAAGCATCCACACTTGGAAGCAAGGTTTTTATACCTGATCATACATACTATTATCATTTTTCTTCAGATCAATGATCATGTCTATTGTGTATGAACAGGGGACCTCCTAAGTGGTTTCTTCCAAATGTTGAAATCAATTTGATGATCAAAACGTTATCAACAGAGATTGTGTAATAAATCATATCAAATATAGTGAAGTCACAGTTTTCATCATTGTTGATCATAAATTCGACTATATAGATTGATGATAGGGAGCAAATAAAAATCAATTTTCAGAAACATTTACGAAAATTCCGGAAAAAAACATATAAAAAATTGACGTTTAGTATTGATCATTGACTTTCAAAATCGGACAATTTCCAGTAAGTTTAACATTCTATGTACATACTTGCATAAATCAGTTTGCCCTAAGCTTGTCTAGCAAAAATCATTGATCTTGTTCTACCCAGCATTCATTATTGATTCAATACTCCTAGTTCAACAGTATGAAATTTTATATTCCTTAGACTCATCCAAAGTGTAGGGTATTCGTTTCTTTGAATGATGATCTTTGATGAGCTGAATTTCTGCAGCAAGCTGATAATCCAAAAAAGTACTTGATGATAAATAAAGACTGAGGATGACTAAGGAGTACTTGATGATTAAGAGTCTGTCTCATCATTGGTAAAGGTTCCATAATTAAGTCCCACCTCTAAAAGATTAAGTCCACTGAGGAGACTTGCATCCAACATCTTCTGTTGTACAGACTCTTCACGATCCATCTCTTCCTCTTGCAGGTTCTTAAAACAGATAATGGCTAGCACTACACATTGAAGAAAAACTAAAACCAACGGTAGAACAAGTTTAGTCGTACTAAACGTCTGGAAATCTGATGCATTGTATAACACAAAATTTTCGTCTATTCTTGAATCTGTTTCATTTTTCAGAACATCTGGAAGCGACAAAATAAACAAGTTATTGACCATCAGTATCCTGAAACATCGTTTGGGTGTTACAAAATGCAGTAAAAATATGCAAATACATCAAGTAAGATTTATCGATTTGTCAGCACACAACAAATTGTGAAGTAAGCCTGAAGTGTAAACAATGGATTATGGATTCATTATAAAAAGAGTTAACGTAATTTTAGAAAGTCACAAAGACATCATCTTTACGGTAGCCATATTTTATACCATAAACTACATCAAAGGTATGAGAAGAAGATCCACAGAAATGGATAGGCCAAAATCGTTCAAATTGTGACAAACGACAATGATGATCTTCAATGCTTGCCTCAACAGTAAAAACTAAGGTTTAAAGATGCTATCATGATCCCATCTGTCGAATGGATTTCTATTTAAATCAATAGAACTCCTATTTTGGGGTTGTATTTGATTGAGGCAGCCTACACAATACTTCACCAAGTAAGTGCCTCATTTCGTGGCTTATATTTAAATACTGACAAACAGTTGACATAATTGTCCCCAACAAGAGAGGTTATCAACTATGTAGGCATGTTCGTATTCACTGTTCCTCGCTGGTTCCAAGTTTTAGTAATGAGCATGCTTTGCATTGTGTGATCAACAAACTAATCCGAAAAAGGTGATATTAAAGAAATCAATCAATTTGGAACGTTTCCAAGACTAAAGGTCACATTTCTAGTTCTCCTGTTAGCCAGTGTTCCAGGAGAGGATTCCACTATCCAATTACTATGTGAGAAAATTCGGCCCTGGATTTTGTAACCTTCAAAGGCAGAACAATCGTTAGTCTACGGGTATTAAATATCTTAATAAAAGTATTTATACATTTATAAATGTCCATAGGTACAACAACATTACACACTTTAACAAACACACAAGCAGGCACGTAGCCAGGATCACAAGGCAAAATCAAAATATAAATTAACAGCGATTCTGATGCACAAATAAATTGCAAAATGATTCAACAGTAAATTTGCCCAACCACAATGAATGGAAAGAACAGCAGCATTGTACAGCCGGCTGTAAAGTATCTGACTGAGAATTAATTGCTGAACAAAACACCACTGCATGGAATACAGTATTTTATTGTCCGGTACACGATGCAGCATCTATGTGTATGGTATTGGAAGCGTCACTGTCTTGCTGTTGTGCACAGTACAAAGACAGCTCTATATAATATAGATTGGAAAATCCGTTTAATTTTCAAGATGTTATTGTCCTTTGGATCAGATCTACATGACGTCATTCCAATTATTGGGAGTGGGAACATTTTTAGATTTAATTGCTGTAAATTACTAACTTATAAAATAGAAATGATAAAAAAAGAAAAGAAGTATTTGCGATCCTCTTAAGAGAGGTCAAAGTTGGTTATATTTAACAATAGTAAGATTATAAATATTCTGCCTCTCCATCTTCTATTCTTCTTGCAAACTCAGGATAAAATCAATACCCATAAAACTTGTAACAATCTAACAAGGATAGGCTCCGGTTCCAGAAAAACCTGATTTCACCTGATTTCACCTGATTTCACCTGATTTCACCTGATTTCACCTGATTTCACCTGATTTCACCTGATTTCACCTGATTTCACCTGATTTCACCTGATTTCACCTGATTTCACCTGATTTCACTTATTCCGAGAGTTTTGTTTTAAGAACTTACTCTAACATGAGCTATCTTCATTACAGGGATGGTACAAAGCACGTTAGTTACTCCGGCACCTTACCATTTACCAGGGTATGTACTAGGTCACTTAGTAACCTAGTAACCTAGTAACCTAGTAATTTAGTAACCTAGTAATTTAGTAACCTAGTAACACAGGAACATTATGAATAAGTGACTTAGTGACTAATTAACCTATGTTACGTTTAAACCTAGTAACTTAGTATCTTATGTACGTGCACTGTGCAGTCTTATATTAAGACGAGCAGTTTTACAATGAGATATGATGTTAATTTGAATATTAGTTAATTTTAATTTTATAATTTCTGCTGTCGTTTTGTATGATATCAATACATTGCAGGTATTTGGGGTATGTTCCCCAGTTTAAGTTTAAGATCGGAGGAACATATGGACAAACTACACATTCTATCCTGGACACCTCCGACTATCTTCAGAGCAAGGTTATATACTGTTATACTGTCATACTGAGGAATTTGTTTCCCTTTGAATCAATCAAACTAGATGAATTGTTGTAAATACTGAGATCAAACTATCAATCTACAGGCTATCGTCAAACATGTTGCAAGGCGTCATCTTCAGTGACATAAGCCCTAGAAATTGTAAAAAGTTAGTAAAACCCAAAATTCCTTTAAAAATCTGAACACTCTTAAAACGGTTATAAAGTTAAAATTAAGATGTTAGGAGTAATGGAAGGCCAAAAGGATTTATAGTGTTAATTCCCAAAGGTTTTAAAGTTTTAAGTAGTTGAATATATTTATGTTCACGGACATCCAAAGTTTTAGGACTAGAATTATCAATAATTGACACATTAAAAATTTTATTGAAATCATCCCTTTGTCTGAAACCATGATCCAACAAGTGTAAACCCAAACTATATTCATCACTTGTTTCATCTACCTTATCACCATTTAAAAGTTTATAATATTTGACCCTATGTTCTCCAGTCCTAACCCGTAGAGATCGAGTTGTGCGACCGACGTAAGCCTTTCCACAGACACTACATTGGAATAGATACATGATGTTGTAGCTCTGGCAGTTTCCAGGGGAAGCTTTAACCTTCTTGCCGTTCACTTTGAATTCACGGGTGCCTTTGACAAGTTCACAACATTTGCATCTTGGCACATTGCATTTGCTGGTTGGGCCATGTTGAGCTCCTAAAGCAAGTTCTTTCAATTTGACGAGGCGAGATTTTAGGCTTGGCCCTGTTTTCTTTGTGTAACTGAAAATTGTCTTCCTAGGCGTGGCGGATGTTGAGGGGGTGGCTTGGGATGTTTCAGCAGTGTCACTTTCACTGAAACTCCTCGTTCTTGAGAGGTGTTCTTCATACTTCTTAGTCACAGACACCAGATCATCATCACTACCATAAGTAGATATGACCCTGATTGGAAGATGTAATGATGTCTGGTCATCAGGAGCCTGAACTTTGCGTGACAGTGATCTTGCTGTGTTAAGGACCTTATTACTGATGTTCTCAATCATTTTTCTAGGGTAACATGCGGCAAGGAAGGCTTTTTTGAGGTTGTTGAGATGTTCTTTCAGGCGTTCTTGGCAGTTGATGATCCTTCTGAGTCTAAGGCATTGAGAGTACACGATACCGGAATAGATATGGTTAGGGTGGGAGCTTTTAAAATGTAGATATGAACGAGAGTCTGTTGGCTTTATGAACAAATCCGTTTGGAGGGATCCTAAGGAATCGAAGGTGAACATTATGTCAAGGAAAGATACGTATTTACCAGGATCTTCTATTTGGTATTCATCAATGATTAGGCCATGGGAGAGGAGTGCTTTGTTAACATCTGCAATCCAAATTTTGAACTCATCTGTAGTTCCCTCAAACAAACCTGCTCCGTCGTCAATGTAACGCCTGGCTGATACGATCTTATTCATGAGCTCTGGGTTACTATAAACACATTTGTTCATTAGGTAGTAGACTGCTATGTTTGCGATTTGGACACATAGTGATCCACCCGTAGGGATACCGATGATACTGTCATACTGTTATACTAATCTGGGGAGTGGGGAGGGTACGGGGTTTAGGAAGGGGGAGGGAGGGGAGGGAGGGGAGGGAGGGGAGGGAGGGGAGGGAGGGGAGGGAGGGGAGGGAGGGGAGGGAGGGGAGGGAGGGGAGGGAGGGGAGGGAGGGGAGGGAGGGGAGGGAGGGGAGGGAGGGGAGGGAGGGGAGGGAGGGGAGGGAGGGGAGGGAGGGGAGGGAGGGGAGGGAGGGGAGGGAGGGGAGGGAGGGGAGGGAGGGGAGGGAGGGGAGGGAGGGGAGGGAGGGGAGGGAGGGGAGGGAGGGGAGGGAGGGGAGGGAGGGGAGGGAGGGGAGGGAGGGGAGGGAGGGGAGGGAGGGGAGGGAGGGGAGGGAGGGGAGGGGAGGGAGGGGAGGGAGGGGAGGGAGGGGAGGGAGGGGAGGGAGGGGAGGGAGGGGAGGGAGGGGAGGGAGGGGAGGGGAGGGAGGGGAGGGAGGGGAGGGAGGGGAGGGAGGGGAGGGGGGAGGGAGGGGAGGGAGGTGAGGGAGGGGAGGGGAGGGAGGTGAGGGAGGGGAGGGAGGGGGGGAGGGGGGGAGGGAGGGGAGGGAGGGGAGGGAGGGGAGGGAGGGGAGGGAGGGGAGGGAGGGGAGGGAGGGGAGGGAGGGGGGGAGGGTAGGGAGGGGAGGGAGGGGTTTAGGGAGGGGAGGGAGGGGAGGGAGATGGGGATGGAACATACTTAGCTGAACAAGTCTTGTTTACAATTGTTGCTGGGAAGGATACTAGGTTAAATACAGATAACAGGTTCACATTATATTGTTTTCAACACAATCATACCAATATTACTGTATGGAATAATTATTTTACTCTTTCATTCAATACAAGATTTCAGGGTATTTCTATGCTTTTATTGTCCATTGAAAATCTGCAATAATATGAGAGAGTATTACTGAATAGAAGCATACTTTTGATCTAGTAGAATAAGCATACTTTTTGATAAATTGAAATAAGCATATTTTAAAATCTAAGTCCAGAGAGCCACCTGATCTAACTAAAACTGCTAAATAGCCCCAAGTACTGAAGATAAGTACTCAGATGACAACACAATATCAAGCACTACCTTTACAAGTAAACTCAGTCAGTGTTAGGAGCCGAGTGTGGTTTTTCTTTCTTCTTAGTTGCTTGTTATGTTGTTATTTTGATTATTTGACACATTTTATGTAGAATTAAAAAAATACTCTTTTTGACTTAATCATGATAACACACTGTGGACTGATCTAGAAATAATAGTGGTTCATATAATATGTAGTTACTACCATCCAGTTAATAGTACTTAACTGTCTCAGTCTTTTGAAATTTCAACTAATTAAAACGTTATAACTTTGGAAATATACAAGGCGATTAATCGAAGATTTAAAAACATAGCAATGACTCTTAATTTCTAAATACTTGTGGTACAATACCAGATAACTGAGTAACCAGTCTCTCCTTTCCCAGCAGATGCCGTACCGTGTAATTAAGGAGGTAAAGTTCCAGGAGCCGTTAGCCAGAAGTAAGCCAGCGTCTCAGGAGGGTTGGAGCAACACTAAACTTAAGGGGAGCATGGTACCAGGTTACACTGGTTAGTGTAATTTACCAATTAGTTAATTAGTCAATTAGTAGAGTCAATTTATTTTTTTAAATACCTTATATTTCCTAGATTACTACCATTTTATGAATTTTAACTGCGCTCAACTTTGAGATTTAGTTATAAAGTACAGTGTCCGATATCCCAGGCTACGTGCCGAAAGGACAGCATTTCTTCGGACAGCGCTACGCACAGGCATGCGACAATGCGCTCAAGTCTTTCGAAGCTGATCTCATCGTTAAGGAGAAGAGTGAAGAGATACTGAAAGTGAGTTATCTACAATGAGTCTAGAGTTGTATAATTACACTGAGTAATAGTTATTTAGTTACGATGAGTTTAGAATAACTATAGCTAAACTTAGTATCGACTAACTGAGTATCCGCTAATTGAGATATTGAAAATGAAACGTATCCTTTTACCCTTGAGTGAATGAGTAACAAAAAGGCCCCCTATTTTACAGATGGTACCGAGAAGACCGCTGACTCCGGTTAGTAAAGCTAACGCGTACCCTGCCAAACCACGCGACTTCCAGTACGGGACATCACCTTACCGGCTACCTAACAACCACGATGAGGTTTGTTACTTAGTAACCTGGTAACTTGGTAACTTAAATTTAGTAACTCAGTTTAGTAACCATGGCTCAGTAGCTGTTTAACTTTCTGACTTAAACTCCGAGGATAAGTTCTGTAGCAAGTTGTATTCACAGCCTTTTCTTTAATCCAATTGTTGTTATCTGTTGTTATAATTAACTAATTATAGTTATTATAATTAGTATTTGTGGCGTGAGTGTAAAGCTGGCGATGATTTTAAGAAGATTATTTTAAGTGAGATAATTTTTATAATAACATATCGCATGTTGCATATGTCCCTCTCTGGAAAGTTTGTATTTGTAGATTTTTCTCCATAGCAACATTACAGCCACTGATGCAATACTCGTAAGCCCATAATATTATTAATTACTGTTCCTTTGGCAACGAGAAATTCGAGACCATAAATAAAGTATGATCTGACGCGGGGTGCTGAAACGTACACTTTGTACCGAGTAGGACGAATAAATTCCATTGTTTGTTTTTATATTGCTGATATCAACATGTGAACAAATACAGAATATCCGCAATGAGCATCGTCAAGATTTGGCGAGTGCAGGGAAAATATTCAAATTATCTTCATCATGTCCTCAGTCCTCTTCAATAACACATTCTTTTTAATTATTAAATTTGTTAGTTATTTAAACTCTAATCTGTAACATCTCAATATCCACTTAGACTTGATGGTGTTGAACAGATTATCGCCTTTTCTAGATTTAGCAATTCTAATGAAAGCTGCTGTCCCAGTTCATTTAGGTCTACTCGACCAGCAGGTCATTCATCCCAGCATCTCCTGTACGGCGTAACAACCGCCCCCCCCTGCTTATTTGTAACGCCATTAGAAAATATTGATCGGCGGAATGAGAAATAGGAACGCAATGCTATTGGTTAGTATCAGCTTGAGGTAACTAGGTTACTTATTTACTAGGTTACTAGGTTACTAAGAGACGCCGATGAGAGGTCTTCTGATAGCTTTTAAAAATGAATTATTCTAGGCAAGAAGTTTAGAATTATTAAACTAAAAAGTTATAATACATTCAATTACTTGTTTTATAAAACAATAATACACAAATGTTACATTTCATCTATAGATTTCGATTCAGTCTAAAATGTTCAGTTTCCACCAAATTCAGTGCATGTTTTTGCATCATGACTAGAGTAGTGAGCAATAATGAATTCTACTAAAACTAAATGTGTAACTATCACTTCTTTAAAATATTAATGATAAAAGAGCCTTCCAAAAGTGAAAATAGTTTAAATTAGATTTTTCTCTCTTATTTATATCTACAAAATTGTTCGCTAATTCACCGTAAGAATGTTCAGTTTGTGCTTCCTTCAACCGTAATTGATTTGTCCAAGCTTCAATTTCCCTCTCATTTATCGTCTTCACCTTGGTTAGGATCAAGACCTCCGTTTTCTATAAACGCCCTGAGTGTTGTCTCTGCAGCTTAGGATCAGGACCTCCGTTTTCTATAAACGCCCTGAGTGTTGTCCCTGCAGCTGCCGGATCTAATTTACAATGCTCTCATCTTCCAGCATGTAGATGTGAAATTGGTCCTCAGCACCGTTAATGACTGCTACACAAGCCAGACAGCTGTGATCTAGGTCCCTGAAAACTGGAGACGAAGGTGCCCTTCTTTTCTTGTACTTCATATACTGTACCAACTCAACATCGTTCTCCTTGATGTTCACCAACATACCTGTCACCTCTTTCTTCACGTTTATTTCAACTCCGTATTTGTGAGCGGTTAGTCCGCCCCTGGCCTTGCCCCTGTCTCCTGTCTTGCTCTTGGTCTGCATATGAGTAAACTCAAATTCCCACTCCGAGCTGAAACACTGTACTGCTATTAAACGCTTAGTGGTGCCAGAGGAGTTGGACCAGACAGGTGTAACATAGCGACTACTTTAACGCCGTCTTATTTCGCCTCTCTCTTCCACACTCAACCACCACTTAAGCGTTTATCTATGACACACCCCACAACACTTACCATCATCCTTGATTACACATCTTGATTCCACTGGCATCCTCCCACAGGACTGCCATACCCCAGAGGTAGGCAAAGCATTCATATGCTATCCTCTCGTGGGCCAACTAGGCCCCAGCCTCTCTAAAAAAAACTGTACTGCTATTTCTTGTCCGTGAAACAGGGAACTTCTGCCTCTTCCGGGTAGGATTGGGCAGAACAATCTGAAAACTGGACTGCAAAATCAGTGCAGTCCACTTTTGTGAGCCCAAACTCCGGCATCTTTAATTATTCATGCACATATAAAAGTATATACAACGCTGACCCAGAATGACATGCCACGGTACCACTATAATATTTGCTTCGATTCTCCGTGATACTGAAGCACTAGCAGTACAGATATTTGCTGCTTGTAATTCCTGGGTCGTTGCATGAACCTAGTCATTCCCCTATCTGCTATAACAAGATATTTTTTAATAATCGCCATAATATGTCAATGTTAAATCAATGTGTTTTAACTTACTTAAATGCAAAAGCCGTAGCGAGGTTACCCAGGTAAATGATCTTTGCCAAGTTGAAATTTGCGTTTTCTGAAACTACTCTCTGCACTGGTAATTGTATTTAAAAGGGACACAAAATGTATGTTACGTGACGCAAAATTATTCCCCGCGCGAACGCGATAAGATTCCCTTTCATCATCAGTTTCAGTTAATTCTGGGTAATATTTCGCCGTAAAATCATATTGGCAACGTGTGCGTTCCATGTTCTCAAATTAGGCAACGGGTAAGTTTTTATAAATCTTTAACTTTAACTGTTTGGAAACAGGTGTTGCTATTTTATGCTGGTAATCCCAAAAATGCTTGAGATCGGCTCCATTTCATCCATTGTGTCTCGCTAAATACTTGGCTTAGTTTTCATAGCTTCGACTAATCATCAACTGTTTGGCTGGGGACGGTATTCAACTGTCGAGGCCTACTGTAACAGCCATTTAATACGCTTAGAGTTTTCCAGACAGCTACTAACCGATATCCAATGGTTCCTCAGAGGATTTAAATATATTTTTTTAAAAAAATTGAAAATTATACCTTGTTTAAGCCTGAGTTAAGTGGGCAAACTTTCAATGAAAATTAGTATTCCAGAAAACAAATCCAACTTTTAACAGACTGAATCAGGAAACTTGGTTAACTGACGGTCCCAGACACACCAAACTGACACTTGGCCACAAGCACGCCAACATCATCAAAAACCTCAACACTACACTCAGCAACTAAACAACAGACAAGATTACAGAACTGCAGTTCACCTCATCACGGGTCACTGCGGCTTAAACAAACACAGCTTCACACCATTTGCAAATCAAACACCAGTGCTTGTCCTATGTGCAGCGACGGAGAGGAAACTGTCTCACACTTCCTTGGACAGTGTCCGGCTATTGCCCAAAATTAGAGGTCAATTTTTCCAGGACTACTACCTCTCTGTCAATGACATATTCGACAACCAACACATTACCCACGATTGTCAATTTCGCAAACCACACCAAACGCTTAATTGTGCCGGAAGAGCTGGATCAGACCGGGGCTATCTTGGCCCAGCCTCTCTTAAAAATTTTAAAAAATCAAACTCTTAACAGAAATAAGAATTTACTTCTTATTAAAATTGTTTTTTGTGAAGATGACAGATGTGTTCAACTCTAAAATTGCAAAGTATGCAACAAGTTAAATTACTGGCAGTCTCCCAATTGTAGGTTTACAACCTACCAGGACGCGCGCCGAGTTGGACTCGTCGACGATGGAACAAATATTTTACGTACGAGTATCACCCGTTAATCTCCCAACTCCAAGCTTCTTACTGTGTACTGGGCTGCGCTCAGCCTGTAATTAGGGGTGCACCATAAAAATAAACTTGCTCGGATTTTAAAAATTTTTGTACCATTGTTTTCTAGAGACTGTGAGAATTTTCACAATACCAAATTTGTCATACCTTTTTGGAAAGATCATGCAGTGAGTGTCGCCTACTGCCTAGGTGCCATATTTGATGGTGCGCGGCTTTTGGAGCAAAATTAGCTGTAAAAGTTGCGTAATTTGACCAAATTTGACCAAATTCGTTGATTTTTGTCGTATTATTTGGATATATCTTCAGTTCCTTGAATGAGATCATTCTGAAACTTGGCGACAACCTTCCAATGCCAATTAAGGCTTTCACAACTGTCCGAACAATTTGGTGGATATCGGAGTTGATTATAGTGATCAAAATGGGGCAAAAAAAAAAAAAACGCTGGCTTTTAGCTTAACATAATGTCTGATGGTTGCATAGGCTTTAAAACGTTTCGGACACCTTCCGTGTAAGTCTAGGAGTAAGCTTACAAATTTTTGTTGCAATCGGAGGTTGGGAAGGATACTTATATCTATTTGTTTGAAATTGAAGAAAATTGTGCTGGCCGAATTAGCGCTAAAAAACCATCCTACCAGTCGGCACGCGCGGCTCACTGTCGATGGCGCAACTACCTAATGTATGTCCGCCGAATCTCTATTTATGAACTTACTGATTAGCCTGGGTGTCCCCAGTTAACCAGCTTCATGACAAGTGAAATCTTGGAGACTTTTTTCACTTCTTACCAGTTGGTCCGGGAATAAAGACTAGGAGAAATTAAAATGAGATAAAATCTGATTTAAAAAAAAGAACTTACCTTATCGGAATTTTATTTGAACGGACGTCAATTGGACGCTGGAGGCCCCTATAGTTATACAAATACAAAGCGTTCAAATTTAATGTCCGTTCAATTAAAGTGCGCGAAGTAGTTAATTTTAAAATTTTAAATTAAAAATACACTAAATGAATGCCTTTCGACGTTTCATTTTAAAATATCATTCAAAATTATGTCCGTTCAACTGGTTTCAACCGTCACGGAATGACGTCGACGATCCTATACTCGGCGCGCGTCTTGGACGGTAGGTTTATAAACCTACAATAAAACCCTCACTTACTGTATGTTGGAGAGGATGTTTCCCATCTTCACTTATTTGCCAGAAGTTATGGCTTTTGGGGCTTTCGCCTACGGAAACTATCTCTCCCGCAAGCACACTCTACGGAGGAACACGTGTTGAAAGTATTAAAAACTCAGTTGCCAGACTTATATTAATGGTGGCGAGACTTTTACTCTTTTCTTACTGGGCCGCGCTCAGCCTGTCATTCCGCCAAATCTTATTTATAATGTTTATGAACATAATAGCCTGGGGTCCCCACTAGGTAACTCTTTTCGATCCCTGACCAGTGTCACATTTATGACACTGGGCTCATCTGTAATAGTAATACAGAGTATTGCTTTATATTATTATTCGTGCCCGTGGCTAGGTTTATTTTGTTTTAGCGCAAATCTTACTGTACACAACAATTTGTCACTGATTAGCAAAATTTGAAGTCAGGGAACAATGATAGGTTCGTAATTCATTTTTCAATCACTGCGTTAACAGTAACCCTGCTGACCTAGCTCCGAGACAATTTGATTGGTACCTGAAACTGGATTCAATACACAAATTATAGTGTTTCATTTGACATTCGCACCAAATTAGATTGCACCGTGAGTTGAATTATTAATCGGTTGCGAAGCAGAACCATAGAAACCAGAACAAAACACTAGCTCAAATGTATTTCTAGATAGAAGACTGCAGTGTCATGGGAACAAAATACTCCAGCTCTAAAGAGATAGTGGATTGTGCAGCCAGATGCGCATAACTAAATTCATTAAGTGAACTGACACTGGTAACGGTTATAAAGTTTATTCAAGTTGTTTCCACCTGGACCCGGGCCCTCCTGTTCTACATTATAATAGCAACTTTTGTTCTCGTAGTCGTAACACCTGCTAGATGTGCTCTCGCCTCAAGTCCAAGATCAGAGGGAATGTTTGGTTTTTTGTTGTCAGTATTCTCAGTCAGGGGTCAGTTGTAGTTTTAATGTTTGTATTTGAAAAACTGTTCTGTTTTAATTCTTTTTTTTTCATCAGCATTGATTTTACCTGAGGCCCCCAGGCTATTATGTTCATTAACATTTTGATTAATATAGATTTGGCGGAATAGATTTGGCGGAATGACAGGCTGAGCGCGGCCCAGTAAACATTGATTCTCTTTTTGAATTTTAATTTAATACGAGTCGATTTTTTGTAAAGGACCCTTACATTAAATTAAGGGGCCATTTAGTTCTACTTAGGACGTCCGCCAAAATCGCAGATTTTAAGATCACCCGCCCTCCGGCCCCTGTCCGGGTGTGTCCGAAATTCCAAATCCACCCCCTCCGATCCCTATTAGTATTTGCCGGACGTCTTAAGTAAATGGCCCCTACCACATATAATGATATTTGGGTAGAACTAGAGTTGGTACATGGGTCTTCCTTTCCAAACAAAATAAATAAAAGGAAATGATATCAATTTTGAATCATGAATTACCGTCTCAAAATTGCAAAATGATACCGAAATGAAGATCGGTAGTCGCTCGC